AAGCCACTTGATGATTGCACAAAATGGTGGGCATGGAATAATGAGTAAGATGAACCCTTTGACGATTTCTTTTGTGGGCGTGTACTACGTTGCCAAATCACTTCAGATGATGTGATTTTCAAAATGTGTTAGGTAAGAAATTGTCAAACCGAACAGAGGCAGTTGAATTGACTATACTTTATTAATGGGCAATTAAATTAACAGTTATTATTTAATCGTGAGGAAAAAAATATTAAAATTTGAATAAAATGAAGTTTATTGGTGGAATAGACCATTCCATTTATGGTTGTGAAGAGTCAAAATTTGGGGAGATGTGTAAGTGCTCCAATTTTTCGCAGTTTAGCAAATATGAGTAAATGACACTCAGTTGCTTAACATCTGTCTTTTTATTGATACAGTTTTTATTCATGAAAATGTGGGACATTTCCAGGAATAAACGTTTGGATAGGTATTTTTTCTCTATCGAGAACTTTGATACTTGTGTAGTTCATAGAGTGCCCTGTTGTGTTAATATGAGATGCTAGAGCACATCTTTCAGGATGAAGCGTAGAATCACTTTTGTGTGATGTAATCCTTCCTTTAAGAGATCTGGAGGTCTTACCTATGTATATTTGGTTGCAATTGTTGCAATTGATAGAGTAGACTGTGTTGGTTAAGCCAAGCAGCGGGACTGTCTTTCATTTTTGAAAAAATGCAGTTTATAGTGAGGACGGATTTGCAAGCAATTTGACAGTTCAACGGACTGCATAATCTGATCAGCTTAGGGGTCATTTCCTTGATATAGGGTAGTACAGCAAAGCCAGATCTGGAATTTGGCATGGTGGTTGTACTGTTTGAATTGGTGTTGTTGTTGGGAATTCTATCAGTTCTGTTATTAGGGGTTGTGAGACTATTACTTGTATCATTAGAGTTTGGCAAAATACACAGACACTGATAACTTTCGGCCATCTGTCAAAGGGTTCATCTTACTCATTATTCCATGCCCACCATTTTGTGCAATCATCAAGTGGCTTCACGATGTAATGCTTTCAGGTTCTAACAATTTTTAATCTGTTTTTAACTTGTGCTTATCACACAGTTGGGTGCATTTTATATAATTTTGACCATTGTACCATTTATCCAGCATTCACCATGTTACTGGGTGTTTCCCTCATCCTGAACGTAAACAACAATTAGCAACATCCTCGCATACTACTGTAAGTTAAGTTAATTTAAATTCATTTTACACTATTGTTGCTACTGTTATCAATGTAATTGCAGCTCCTGATGATGATGGCGAAGTCCATTGAAAGCTAGAGAGAATACAAAAGGTATAAAGAGTCCTCCTTGCTTAAAATTTTTATCGAAGTACCCAACAAAAGGCAGAAGCTTGAATGTTTCACCTATATATATATATATATATATATATATATATATATATATACATAGTGAGTATTCGAATATTGGGATTCAGAAATCGTATTTAGAATCCACAATACCAAGTGCTGACCAAAAAAGTATTCAGTCGAATACCAAATACCAAACGCACAAAAGTGTTCGAATAGCATTCGAGGAAAAATAAAGAAGCAAGGGTCACGTTCTTCGTAAAAAATTCAATTAATGTTGCTCATCACTGGTCTACGCCTATGCTTGGATCATTTTTGAATAGAATGGAACTTGCTATAAGCGGTTGCTTTGATTCATGCCAGAGAAATTTGAAACGTGAAAAAAACGAGGCAACCATAATTAAGTCTAAACAGTTTCGGAAATGCTTGACCTGCATGGGAGAATGAATAGAAATTAAATTTCTCAGATTATATTTATTGAATGGATAGAATCGTGTGCTGTCAATAATCAATGAAGATGCAAAATGTTCGGTTACCATACCGACTCATTAAATTACGGTCGAAAGTACCGGGGTGTCCAATAATTATGCGAGAGGAAAGGGGTCATTGGTCACATGGTAGAGCAAAAGTCTCGTAATTGTTTCCCTAAAGAAACAATGTAAAATTAAATTAATGTTCTAGTCGCAAGATGTCAAGCGTAATTGACGGGTTCTCCTCTTCATCCCCTAACGTCAACGAGGGTGTTCCCCAGGGTTCGATCTTGTCTATTACATACCAACGACCTCCTTTTCTGTGCTATCAATTTGAACCACAGCTTTGCTGACGACCTCACGCTGCATGCATGAATTCAGAGAGAAAATAAGACTAATACCGACTTCATCTCTGATGAGATGCCTGGAGGGTACCACTGCTTGGGGACGCAACAATCTGGTGCATTTTAATACTTCCAAGATACAGAACTATACCTTGACTAACAAGAAGCATCTCAGCGCTCATCCGGTTCCGGTTCTACCATAGAACCGTTCATTTCGGCAGGTCGGAGTCCAGATCACCGAGGACTTGATCTGGCACGAACACAGCTCGTCAACAGCGGCAGCTGCTTGGTCAAAGCTAGGCTATTTGTTTAGGGCTAAGAAGTACTTTTCTCCAAATAACCTCCTTACTCTGTACAACGCCCAAATACGACCTAGCCTCGAGTACTGCTCACATGTTTGTGTTGCTGCCGCTTCGACTACATTATGAGTCTTCTATAACGGACAGTCCCGGGACCTTTTCACCTCACAGGACGTTGGCGAACTAGCTCTCGTCTATCGCTATGTCAACTGACTTTGCTTCTCAGAGCTCTCCTCCATGATGCCGCCTCGCCATGTGCCTGCCAGACAGACCTTAAGTTCGGCCTTCCATCCTAACCATGTCGAACTTCGTACATCCAAAACTGGCCGATACGACCATTCCTTTGTCCGTAGGGTATTGTGAAACAATATACCTGATGAGGCTTTCCCAGTGCTACTAACCTTAAGCAGTTCAAAATTCGGATTAACAAAGTTTCTTTAAGGTCGTCATAGCAGCCGCGATGCGCTGGTATTTAGGCTTCTACGGTATAAAAAAAACTAAAAAGTTGATCAAAATATGTTATGTTTTTCGCTGTAATTTTAACTACAATGTAAGCAATCTTAAATACTAGTTTTAACTGGTCTAGCTCGTAGTGAAGCAAATTGTACTTTTTTGAATTAATCCGGCGTACTTTCACTAAAAATAAGAATTTTTAAGAGTCTCTCGTAAGATTATGTACGTGGGGAAGGGGTCAAATCTCACGGCATAATACTACCGGAGGAAGGTGGTCAGAAAATCGCCAAATATACTAAGTGACATATAAATCCGAACACCCAGTTTAAATGGTTTTATTTTAATAAAAGTTGGTGAATGTATTTATCTTACTGTAAATAACAAGTGAAAAAATGTTCAGCCTTATCAGTTGGACATTCCGGTTTTTATACTGCTATTTTTTAATTCACTAACGCTCTAAAAATGAATATTTCAGCCGCAGTAAAGAATCAACGTTGGCGGATTTTGGTTCTTGACATCCTTTACGATCGGTTACGATGCCTAGAGTACGGAGACCTGTACGATTTCGTCAACTTAGTGAGTTTGATAGGGGCCGTATAGTGGGACTTCGGGAAGCTGGACTTTCTTTTCGGGCAATTGCAGTTAGAGTGCAAAGAAGTGTAGACACTGTGGTTAGGTGTTGTCAGGCATGGCTTCGAGAAGGCCGTACGCAAAGAGCAAGGGGCACTGGACGCTGCCGTAGAACAACAGACCGTGAAGATCGCCGCCTAAGATTATTGGCCTTAATTGACCGTTTCTCCACTACCAGGTCCATTGCAAATGAATGGTTTGCAGAACACGGAAGACCTATTGGCATGCGAAGTGTTTACCGACGAATGAGAAGTTTTGGCTTGTTTTCATACCGGCCACACTGTTTCCTCCCTTTAACTCGAGAACACCGACGTAATCGCCTTGAGTGGTGCAGACAACGGTCACTCTGGGATCAGGAATGGAACAGTATTGTCTTTAGTGACGAGTCTCGATTTTGTTTAGGCATGCACGATGGTCGTGCCAGGGTTAGAAGGCGACGTGGTGAAAGGAGGAATCCACAGTTTTTTGTTGAAAGACATGTTCATCACACTGTTGGAGTTATGGTTTGGGGTGCTATAGCTTATGGTTCCAGGTCACCTTTAATCTTCATCAGAGGTAACATGAACGCGCAGCGTTATATCCACGAAGTTCTAGAACCCCATCTTTTACCCTATCTTGACACCCTGGCAGATCCAACTTTCCAACAAGATAATGCCCGACCACATGTTGCAAGAGTCACAATAGACTTCTTTCAACATAATGATGTCACATTGTTACCATGGCCACCAAGATCTCCCGACTTATCCCCAATTGAGCACGTGTGGGATATGATGGGTAGGAGATTGCTCAATTTGCAACGTCCTCCTCAGACTCTAGAAGCACTTCGAGAGGAGTTGGTGGTTGCCTGGAATGAGATACCACAGGAGGACATTGACCACCTGATCAGAAGCATGCCTAGGCGCGTTGGAGAATGCGTAGCACATCAGGGTGCAAGCAGTGCAATCATTTTGAAATTTTTATCATTTACTTATTATGCTTCATTAAGTACTTATACAAAATTTTATTAAAATAAAACCATTTAAACTGGGTGTTCGGATTTATATGTCACTTAGTATACTACTCGTTTAGGTAATTAATGAGACAGAATAAAATCACGCATACAAATGACGTTTTCAAGAAATTTTGATTCTGTATTCGCCGGCAGCGAAGTGCATAGTGCGGGAACTAAATCGGTAGTCTCGCAAAAAGAAAACCGTCGTCGAACTGAGTGGGATATAGGCATAGTCTCTATGGTAAGATCTCTGTCTTAATTTGTCAGATCAAAGTTGTTAGTTTGAAATCCAGATTGCTACATATCTCAAATCTGCTGAATGTCTATTATTTTTATAGATAGTCAGAAGTATAAATTAATGTTCCGGTCCGACATGGCTGAAGCACTAGTACGAACTGTCAGAGTTGTGGGTTCGAGTCCCACCGACTCCACTATTTTGTTGATTGTTTTTACACTGTATATACAACAGATATTTTTTCTGTTTCCAGAGAAGACATGGAAAAGGTGAACATCAAGTTCCATGATAACGGCACAGTGTCCTACCAGCATAAGAAAATTCTAGAGTTCGTTCCAGAACTGTCTGTAGATAAGGATCTAAAACTCGTTGTACCGAACATTCCTCTTCTGGTAAGTAGGATATACAGGATGCTCCGTAAATATGCATCGTAAGATCGAACACTTCCTTGAAACAGCGGACAAAATTTTCGAAAATGGCATTTCTTATTATCGCTTGTGAAGCATCTTGATCTGCAAAATGGCTATTTTAACTTGCTCTGTATCTTAGAAAATGAGGTCACACCATAGATGATTTAGCGGCAAACTAAAAGCTGAGTTCAAACTGTCATTGAAATTGCTTACCATCAACAAAAATTACACTCTTTCTACGACTCAGGTGGTGTTTACTGTAATTAGCTCAAAAATTAAGTGATGTAACCCAAAAATTGTATACCAAAGAGAAGCACAACTCAAAGCTTGAAATATACAGTGGGTTCCATTTAAGTTTTCTAAAAAAGTACATTTTGCATCTGTAAACACACAGTTTTTACGTGGAATCACCATGTAGAGAGATGCATATTTTCCCCGTAAGGAGAGTTTACTTGTCCTAAATTTTTGTAGATAGCAAATTTTATTAGTAGAGGCCATATCCTACAAATTTCAAAAATTATACGCAAAATTATGCTAAATATGGAAATTTTATGGTTAGTCAGATTCAAATCTGAAGGAGAAATACCTTCTAACATTAGTTATATTTCAGACGCTGGCAACTCAGTCAAACAATTTGGGTTACCTGGTTCAGAAAACAATATCTGTCATCCTGAGCATGGGTACCTTCAAGCCGTTCGTGTCCTTGAGGGCGGATGAATTGGTTTTTGGATACGATGATAAGCTCGTTGCGCTGGCGCATCGGTTTTATCCCAAAAAGAAAAGGCCCGCGGAGAAAATGGGACTGTTTATACAGGTAAGAAATGATTCCGGAATTACAAGAAACAATAAGTCTAGGGTTATCAAAAAATGGCGTCAAGTAGATTGTCTCTATACTTCCAGGTTTACTTAGGTACGAATCTTCGAACTCTACGTAGCAAAGTATATAGAATAAATCATATTTCTGTTTCCATGACAAAACATGTGTCACTCATTACGTCTAACAGGTGCATAATATTACCAAGATCAGAGCATCTCATTGACAGAAGATCTTTCACTAACACCAAACATGCAACAATTTACAACCATTTACCGCATACAGTTTGCAACCTACAATATTCAACCCCTACAAAAATTTTCGTCTGAAAATGAACAGGAATCTTTAGAACGTTTCAGTACTACGTTCCAACGATTTTTATTTTTTGTCCGTAATCCCACCGTCACTGAATCAATTTTTACGATGTACGACTGCCTAAACGATAGAAGTATTGAACTTGCGATAATAGTAGTTCTCCGTAACTTCACTCCATAAGTCTTTTGATGCTAAAAGATATAGATAAGCATTACACAAGTCTGTGGTTCTCATTTATGTTGGTTTGTCAATCCGTGTCTGTTGTGTATTAATACGTACTGAGTGAGTCTAACATACTTAACGAAAATTTCAGAGAACAATCATAGACTATACAGGGTTATCCAAATTAAGTGTCCACCATTAGTAACTTTCTTATTAGTGAAAATACAAAGTTGTTTGAATTAGCAAACTAGTAGCATTTTTAACGCTGGTAAAAATGAGAAATAAAAAAAAACAATTGAGAGTCGTTATTTTGATTTTTTTCAGTAAAATAACATTTTTTTAAATGGAAACCCCTGTATATTATATTTTTTTCTGTTAAAGCATCAAATTTTAAACAAAAAAGCTTACAATAACTTTTCTCCTAGGTTACAAATTGTTGAAGTTATGGCCTCCAATCTGAAACAATTAAATTGTATCGACAAACTTTATTTTCAACATCAACTTATAATCTTACAAAATACAATAACAATTTTTTTTAAAGAAGATGCTCGAAAACACCACCTTGTTCTTCAATACATTTTTGGGCACGTTTTTCAACTGCTCGAACTGTCTTAAGTATGGTCCTACCATCTATCTGGGTTATCTTTTCCCTAACTGCAGTCTTTAACGCGTCAAGGTTATCGTACCTTCGCTTGTAAATTTGGTTCTTTAAGTAACCCCACAAGAAGTAATCAAGTGGGTTTAGATCTGGTGATCTGGGAGGCCACTGTATTGGGCCATTTGTTCCTATCCACTGATCATTAAAAGTAGTACTTAGAAAATGATAAGTACCTCTGGAGTTGTGGGCAGGTGCGCCATCTTGCTGAAAATGCAGATGATGTCTACTTATAAGATCCAATTCGTCTAAGAAATTAGTCAGAATTTCTGACATAAATTCCACATATCTTTCACCAGTTAGGGTTCCCTCATAAAAGAACGGGCCAACAATTTTTGAACCAATTATACCGCACCAAACGTTGAAACTGAAACGGACTTGTGGGCCTCTTGGATGTACTAACAAAAGATTTTCTCTTGACCAATAATGGTGGTTTTTTCTATTAAACATTCCAGAATTTGAAAAATTTGATTCATCTGTCCATAAAAGGTAACGAAAGTTATTTACATTTTGACGACAGAAGCTAAGATACCAATGGCAAAAAACAAGTCTTCTCTCTGGATCCCCTGCCAAAAGCGTTTGAACTGGTCGGTACTTATACGGAATAAATTTGTATTTTTTTAAAATCCTTTGAACAGTACCATAACTGAAATTAGAGTCCTTGAGAATATCTGCTATTGAATTCTCACGATAAGCTTCAAAATATCCAATAACTGCAATTTCCGTGGCCTCGCTTATTATGAATTCTTTTTTTGCCCTTGTTTTAGCAAAAACATTTTCGTTGCCCCTAAATTTTCGTTAAAGTCTCAGAAAATATCGTTCATACGGTTGAATGCGAGCGGGATATAATTCACTGTAGTATTCTCTTGCTCTCAAGGAGGATTTTCTGCACACTAAATAGCATTCTAACATATCACACTTTTCTTCATGGGAGAACATTTTTCTTTAAATTAATGACACAATAAAGCTTATAAACAAGTATTTACACTAATGTTTGACATTATTTGATTTTATCATTGTTTTCCAAAGCCTTCTAGTTGCGAGTATGTCCAGTTTAACAATTTGTCGCTTATCTTAATGCTGTCAAATCGCGAACGCCATGGTGTTTTCATAGCCGTCTTAATATTATAATACTGCAATTAATTAAAAATATTTATCGTTATTTTGACTTTATTTTTGACTTTAGCGGAAAAGTCATTATGAACTTTTTTGTTTAAAATTTGATGCTTTAACAGAAAAAAATATAATATACAGGGGTTTCCATTTAAAAAAATGTTATTTTACTGAAAAAAATCAAAATAACGACTCTCAATTGTTTTTTTTTTATTTCTCATTTTTACCAGCGTTAAAAATGCTACTAGTTTGCTAATTCAAACAACTTTGTATTTTCACTAATAACAAGGTTACTAATGGTGGACACTTAATTTGGATAACCCTGTATAAAGTAACCCAAATTCAGAAGCTTCTTAATGATAGAACGTCTTTGACTGATACTAACGTAACATTTACAATCCCCAATTTTCAACCGCTTCAAATATTTTTTTTCGGAAATGAAGCGTCAAAAAACAAAGTTTGAGCGTTTGAGTATATATTTTTTTTCGATCCTCACTCCGTCGCCACTGGACCGATGTTCTAAAACTACAACGCTTTTTCGTCCTTGGCATAGTAGTGAAACTGTGTAAAAATTTCATCAAAATCCGACAGGTATTTCGCAAGTTATAGAGGGGTCAAGGATTAGCGGACAGACAGATAGACCGATGTAAATTTATGAAATTGGTCGCCCAGTGCCGCAGAAAGTAAAAGAAAGATAAAAGGCATGAATAAGAATTTAATATGCATACTTGCACATATACAGGTTGTTACATGTCATCATTATACTATATCATCTGTTTCAGGAAAGTAACTACCATTAAACTACTTTGGGACAGTGACACCCTGTATCTCGAATAGAAAGCATTTCTGTGCTTTGCGCCCATTGGAACATTTGATCAGCACAACATGAGCTATCATTATACGAATTTTCATTCAAATTGACCGACGGTCGAATTTCATCTATTTTGTGCCTGGTACTTTAAAGACATTTTGTTTTTTCTTTATCCTGCATCTGTGAAAAGTAATAGAATCATGCTGTACTACTGCCTTTTCGAAACCGTGGTATTAATTTTTCCAGAGGAATGGCACCCTTCCCGAAGTCCACAATATCTACACAGGGATGACAGGCATGCACGAATTCGGATACCTCGCCAGACTGAACGGAAAGGAAACGTTGCCCTTCTGGAAGGACGCCCCATGCAACGCCCTTAGAGCCAGCGAAGGATCCTTCTTCCCGCCAAGGTACTTCACCAATCAGGATATGGTGCATCTGTACGATAAGGATCTGTGCAGGATATTGCCCATGCAGTATAGGAAGTCTGTTTCCAAACATGGTACGTGCAAGCTTGGTGACAAAGTGTGGAGTCAAGCAGATTGACTCGGTACTCCTTTAGTATTTTTGAATTACACAGACACAGTGGTCCAAATGTCCTAGAACGTAACCAAAACAAGAAAGATTCACCGTGTTTGAGGTCGCTGAATAAGATATCCATTTCACAAAAAACAAAATGGCAGTTCCAAAATATACCCATTTCACGAGTTCCATCACGCTTTGACGTCTATTGAGGTGAACAGCTGATCAGCAAGTGACAGTTTTGTGTTAGTCTGCAACGTTGGCTATATTGAATGGGGTGTAAATGTAGCAAACATTTGTTTTTAGTGTTTTGTTTTTTGTATGCAAATAGAGGGTCAAAATGACTCTGTAGCGTACAAAAAATCAAAACAAAATAATATGGCTCTGTCCACCTGGCATTGACGGATCCGTCAGAATTGTGTATTTTACCGATATGGGAATTTAGAAATATTACCAGATAACCAGCTGTCATTCTACAGTGATGGATACTGATGAAATAGGGATTCGCTGTCATGTTCGCAAAAAATGTTTCGCTCGCGCTCAAATTGAAGTTCTAGATATTTTCAGGGTCGCTAATTCCTGTTTTAATTAACAGTAAATCCACGGATTTCTCAATGAATTGAGGTCATGGCCAAATTTCAAAAGTGTGAATTTGGCGTCAAATAAATCCATGAAGTTCTAATTTCTCCACGAAATTATTTTCCTTTCCATTATATTGAACTTTTCAATTCAAGTATAGAACTACAGTATCCGACAATATGGTTTCTGTTCATGAGATCCGCGTCAGAATCATAACCACAATACACATAAAAACTTAAAAAGTTTCTATCAAGAATTTGTCGTAGATATGGTTGGCAACGCTGAGCACTGACAGATAATGCATGAATTTGTCAATTATAATCAAATTATAATCAGAATACATTCGTGAATAAATTGATGTAAATCGGGTATTATACACTTCTTTAACACAACCTGTTTCTCGTCATTTTCACATTTGATGCGACAGATATTCACTTCACTATAATCGCGCATGCAGAGCAATTTTACGAGTACTTGTTATGTTAATAATCAAAACATGCAGATCTTACCATCAAAAAACAACGCCCCTAATACGTGCTGCAACTATGAATATGTTCAAAGGTTTTCACGATGTTCGTTATCACACGTAGCGATCGATTTAATCAAGTAAGATCAATAATTTCCGTATAAAATAGCGAAAAAGCGCCCAAATTGATAGAGGCAACCCACGCAACCTAGATGAACCAAAATTTCGTTTTTCAAACAGTTGATAATCGTTCGGTCTGTCTAGGGTGACGCGCAGTGTCGCCAACCGTGACTAAGGTCCCTGTGATTATAGTCCAGGACGATTGGATAAAATTCCACAAACAGCGTAATTCCGTTCTTTGAATATTTTTTGTTAGAAATGTCTTTCGTTACATATAATGCCGTCATTTCGGTCGTAGTGTAATCAAGAATCATCATGCGCGCTTGACACTTTTTATAAAATGCATAATATTTTGTTCCTTTTTCGCATTTGTTCGTAAATTCCAACACATAAAAATAATCACATTTGTAGGGATTGCTGCGGATCTTTTTACGCCAGCTGACACAACTTTTGAGTCTGTTGACAAATATCCGGCAAACAAATGTTACTGCCCAGGCAATGAGTTTTGTCCACCAAGGGGTCTTCAGAATATCAGCCCATGTCAGTATGGTGAGTATTATCGCAAAATAAAAACAATTCGGAAAAACTAATCTAAAAGAAATAATTAATTTTGCAGAATGAATTTCTACGACAAAATCGGGAAAATTTATTTTATATTTTGAAAAAAATATCGATCTACTATAGCAAATATTTTTTCAGATGCCCCTGTATATCTGTCCTACCCACACTTCTTGGATACTGATTCTAGTTTATCAGAACGATTTGAAGGACTCAGTCCTAACAGAGAAGAGCACGAATCTTACTTCAAAATTCAACCAGTAAGTATCACGTTATTGTCAAGAATTCAATTTTCTTGAGAGACTTATGAAAAACGATTAATAGCAATTTATTTATTCCAGAAAATTGGCGTACCACTAGAAGGCAAAATTAGGGTTCAACTGAACCTGAAAGTAGATCAGGCTCCATATGTTTCCAGCGTGAGGGATTTTCCTAGCATAATTTTTCCCATTATGTGGCTTGAAGAGGTAACGCTTAGAGTCGAACTTTATATTCTATTATCTGGACTAGACTACTGCCCAGCGGGAAAATGCAAGGCAAACGAATGTGCGCCGGAAATAGTGATGTTACCAGACATTTTGCATGAAATACAAGGTGGCGCAAAAGTAATGACATTTGAACTGGCTGCCATTTTGTTACAAATGAGAAAAGAGTTCTGTTTTCATAAAAAGCTTATTTGAAGGTGTAAAAGTGATGTCATCAATTGGAGCAAACATATCGGTCAAATGACCACCTCTCGAGTTGATGCTTAATTGCGCTCGTTTTACGGCATTCCATGTTAGTCTTCATGGATTGCAAACTTTGTGGTATGTCGTGCTAAGCCCGAGATTTCAAGCTGGTACTGTTAGATCTGGCCATCTAGACGGCAAATTCAAATCTCCAAAACGGGAGATCACTGGACCGTGAAATTGGTGTCTCAAAATCTCCCTCGTTGCCCGAGTAGCATGAGCGGTTGCTCCGTCCTGTTGGAACCAACAATGATCGAGGTCCAATGCAGAAGCTTGCGGGAAAAAACTCAGCTAGCATCTGCCTGAAACGCACACCAGTTACGGTTACGTCGTCAACAACATAAGGGCCAATCACTTCACTGCTAACGCCACACCAAACAGCCACTTTGGGGGGATGCAATGGCTCTTCAAGCATTTTATGCGGATTCACTGTGTCCTAGAGATGCCAATTTTGTTTGTTAACCTAACCACTTAAGTCTAAATGAGCTTCTCCGGCACACCCTTCATAGGGTCTGAGCCAACGATTGGGAAGGCATACAATACGGCTAAACAAATAATCTCTGCAGAAATGAACAGAAAGATCCATCAATACTTTGAGGGATTAGCAGGATTAACACATACTAAGGCAACTATACCAATCTTGACAAAGGAGATAACAGACTCTTTGCTACGGCTGAACAGGAATAGCCTCAAAGCTCTAGTAGGACCACCACATGAGCAGGCTGGGCATGGCGGAAGACGCTGAGTGCAGACTGTGCATGGAGGGAGATGAAACAGTCAGGCGTGTATTGTGCAGATGACCTGCAATTGTCAGAATCAGGTACCACATACTTGGAGACGTAATACTCCAAACAGAAGACCTGAAGGATATTTCTTCAAACAAGTTAATCGAATTCCTCAGGAGGTCGGAGCTACTGGGGGAAATATAAATAGGTGTGAGTCACAATAGACCGAATAGTCGCAGTGGAGGATCGTTATTAATGCACTCACAAGAAACCTAACCTAATCTAATGTTAACCTTGTCCGCCGGTCAGCAGCAGTTTGCACTTTGTAGAGCAATACGGGGACGGCCACTTTTTGCGGCATTTTTAGTAGGCCCACTTTGCACTATGAGCTCAACCAAACGCTCAATTGTTCGAGCACATACCTGTAGAACACGTCGATGACGAAATTGACGCTGCGTTAGAACAACAGACTGAAAATTTGTCAAGTTCTTAGGCCCGTATGTCAGTCGTCCCTACAATTGCAGGGCGCCTGTATGGTCTCCTTGATTGTCATAGTTTTCTACTTCTCCGTGTCAGAACTCTATTTTGAGGTTATGTCACAAACATCTATTTGCATCAAATTGTGCTTACTTTTGAGTTGTATCATGTTTTATCAGCCTGAAATTTCCTACAATTTAAAAAGAAAACATATCTTCACAATAGGAGAGCGCTGACGCTGACACGGGACAAGTGTAGTCTAGAAATATTTGAAGGAAAGAAAGGAGTATGAAAATCAAGGAGGCCATAAAGGCGCCCTACAATTGTAGGGACGACTGACGATACGGGCCTTAATGTTTATAACGCTCCATGGCTTATTGACAGCTAATCCTCCATATATCTACATCATAAAAGTCAAAGCACGGTGACATTTGGCGTCATCTGCAAAATTGTGACATCAATTTGGAATATATTACTCACAAGATCAAAAAAACCTGACAGTGACGACAATATCGGCACACTTACCGCATGGGTATTCCGTATCTTGAAACTGACATTATGCCGATTTTTTTTACACTATATTGGTTTTTTGTGACATCATGTACGTTTTTCTACAAGATGTTTAACTTAGCAGTTTACTGAAGGTAACGGTAATACATAGGTGCATAGGGAGCATTTGTGTGCTAATAATATGTGTTGATGTTAATTCCATTGAATTCTTGTCTCAAATACACTTACTTGAGATTCGAAGCTTGCAATTAGTTAAGCATCCTAGCATTCTGGAAATTACATATGCAAATTTATTGAATTTCAAAAATGAGAGAGAGATAAGAAATAATTATATCCACTGTACACTGTCGAATTACAAGTCATATACATGCTAACAGTAATTACACACAACGCGGGCGCGTTGGTGATTTCCCGTAATTCTCCTGAAAGTTTTTGAAAACTCAAAAAGACGTAACAAACCGTAATTTATAACTTTGAACATAACCTGTCTTCGGAAAGGACAACATATAAATCCCCCGTCGGGAACAGCTAAAAGATATACTTCATTGGCAGCATACACAGAAATGATTTTCTCACACAGGAAATATCAGTGATTTTATACACGTGCAGACCAATACACACAATGATCCAGATGCGATATTGCTACTCAACCAACTTTCTTCTCAGAGACAAAACATATGCAACCAACAATGCGTGTAGACGTGAAGTTGAGCCATTCCTCCATAGATGGACGCTCACAACGATCCTAGTGAGCAAACGTGGAATGACTGGTTGCACTCTAAAAACTACCTAGTCTGCAAGATGACATTTTATAGGTTTTTTTTTTTTGACGTTTTATAGGTTTTTTACATAATACCCGTGCCGGTATTTGCATTACACCTCTTGCATTTTGCGGCTGGGCATAAAATACTTAACGTGGCTAAAACGTTCATAGCATGAACATTGATTAACATAATTCACCTGGTATGACCATCAAACTTGAGCCAAATCGTTTCTTCTAGTAATTCGATACTGATTCGCACTTTCTCATTTATAGTATTAGTAGGAAAGTAGGGATTATCTAAGAACATTTTTCAATTTCAGGGCATTGATGATCTAACGCCACCAATACGAAGATGGATCTACTTAGCGACAACTTTCGCTGACATTGCATGTCCTCTTATGACATACGGGTTCATATTTCTTGGTACCTGCGTTATATTGGGCGTTTTCGTGAACGCTTACAAGTCTCTAGTTTTTACGAAAGAAACAATAGAAATCGGTAAGTAATGGCAAAAATTGTCTAAATTGGCTGTACTATATCCGAATAATGGACTCCTTCCTTCTATCAGCGCCACCTTGAACTAACTAGTTGAACGTGGCGCTGGTAGAACGTATTACCAATGTCGTTAGTGGGTTCAACCACCATATTTTTAAATTCATCCGAAGTGATTTGATTGACGAGAATTCTAATATCATTCATTATTTTCAGGGATGAGGAACTTGAGGCGAAAGAGCAGTGCCTACATAAACTCTAACCGATTCATCGGTCGAAGAGACACTTACCACCTGCTAGACTTGAACGAAGATGGGTCCGATGAAGTCTGACCTTTACTATTTATTGCAGTATAGTTTTTTGTTTAGATGGCTTGATTTGACCGGAAAAACTGTTCATGTACATTCATTTTATCGATAAAAACAACAACATTGCGATGATTTTATACAGTGGAGAATGATTGCGTACAATCAAAGGGCCAGTAAAATATTTCCGTCCATGTGAAACGCTCTTAAGGAGTGTGTACGTAGCTTTAACGATGATTACTTTCACCAGGAAGAAAAGAGTGAAAATCTAAAAAGACTTATTTTGGAAAAGTAACTTACCTGCACCATCCAACTCCATTTTGGTCAAGTCACAGCGTAAGAAGACTTATATTTTTTTGCATGATTGAAAAAATCGTAGTTTTCCCTCAACGAGGTAGGTATATTACTTTTCCAGCAAAAACAAACTGGGCTTTTTTTATAACTGGTGCTACGAATGCCATCAGGCGAAAATTTTAGATCGATCCAACTCAGTTTATCCCTCAAGAAAAATTAATCCCCCTGACACTCAAACCCAAATGTATATAGTATGTTTTATACGCTGGATTGATTTACAAAACCAATACTAAACTTTTTTTAAAATTAAGTCTTTACGACATAGCATACTTTAAAATTAGAGGAAGAAATATTTTTGGGGGAGTAGATACAAAGAAAGATATCTAGTAACACATGAGGTTTTTCGATTTTTCGGCACCCTGATATACTCATGGATTTTGGATCGTGAACTTTTTAATTTTCTATCGTCGTTTTTTATAAGTCTGTGTGATGTTTGCCTTGAAATTCATTTAATATGTGCTAGGTAGTGAGATCCAGCATACCATTTTTTAAATGTTTCAATTATTGTTGTCTTTAGCCAAGTTACTTTTTGTCTTATGTTTAAATCAATAATCATATTTTGATGCATTTTTATACGGGAAATGTGATATTTATATATGAGTATAACACAACCTACAAAGTTTAGCAACAATTAAAATTAATGCGCCAAGATTAAATCGTTTTAACTCGATGCATTAATTTTAATAAATGGTGATGTAAATAATATTAAAGAATATATAGGTCTTTTCTAGAAAAAGTTTTTAACAATTATTTATTCATCCATTCTTTTTAAAGTCGACTTAAAATATGCAATTGTAGTTTTCTGGAGAAGACCAAGCTGTTGGCCAAAAAAAGAATGTTGGTGTAGCAATATTTTGTACTTTCTCTTATCAAATACCTGTCTATGTAAATAGTTTAATGTAAAAAATGGTAAAATTGAAATAGTTATTTCTACATATGAGTTAGTTAGCTCAAATGTAGAAAGGACGAAAATAAATTTGCTCAATTTTAGAATATAATGTGATATGAATGCAATATTGTATTGCAGTTTTGTACTATTTCAGAAAATATATTCTGTATTTAATTAAAACCTGTTTATTATTTCATCGAAATCACATTCACAATCCAAAAATACTTTCTAAGTTCTAAGCAGTCCCATAAATGTCACCCTATAAGTATTTAATTCTAGAAATCTATAATCTAGAATAGCCGATCTCTGTACTTTAGAAAAAAAATCGGCAGATGCTATGCTAAAAACCGTTCAGTACCATCTATAGAACGAAAGTTGAAACTCTCAAGTAGATTAGAGATCTGTAATCGCTGTTAACCACACAATAAATTTTACTAAGTTGATTGATAGATGTTGTCACAGTCTTTCTGGTAGCGCTAGGTTAGGTTAGGTTCCTTGTGAGCAGTGTTGCCAGAGCCCACATTGAAAATTCCGATACTAATATCGAAAAACTCCGCTACTTTCTGCTAAAAACAGGGTGCATTTAGTATACAGGTTGTGTCAAAAAAGAAAAACTAAAACCAAACAACGTGATGAAATATAACATAAGAAACTGTAATAAAAAAAAAACATTCAACTATAAAAACCAATACAATATTACAAATAACTGTCAAACAACAGAACATTTATCACACAGTCATATTAAAAAAATATCACAAGAAACAAAATAATAAAAAGCATATGACTAAAGGCCATTTGAGTTACTTAAACTCAGTCACTGTCTGTATCAGATTCTTCTTGTTGTATTTATGTTCTCTCTATACCATATAAATTATTTTTGTATTTTTTAAAATGTTTTTCACCAAACTCGAAGTCTAAGGCCCGTATCGTCAGTCGTCCCTACAATTGTAGGGCGCCTTTATGGCCTCCTTGATTGTTATAGGCCTTTCTCTCCTTCAAAAATTTCTAGATGACACTTGTCCCGTGTCAGCGTCAGCGCTCTCCTATTGTGAAAATATGTTTTCTTTTTAAATTGTAGGAAATTTCAGGTTGATAAAACATGATATAACTCAAAAGCAAGTACAATTTGATGCAAATAGATGTTTGTGGCATGACCTCAAAATAGAGCGCTGACACGGAGAAGTAGAAAACTATGACAATCAAGGAGGCCATAAAGGCGCCCTACAATAATTGTAAGGACGACTGACGATACGGGCCTAAGCAGCAACATTTTTATGTATTGTATCCAGTTTGATAAGTATCGCGAGCAAAGTTGAAGGTAAAATACGATTCCTTTTCTTTGTTTTGATTATCTCCATATATGAGAATGTCCACTCGACACCTGCATTACCATGTGGCAAATGTTAAAATTATTAGACATACTTTGGAAATACACTTGACAGGTGTTCTTACCACCTACTACCATGTATACGTGTCTCCATTGAATAAGAATTACCGACCGGTGGTTACCACTGTCGATTGGAAAGATATCTGTATTTAGATTTAGTTACTAACTGCACTCAATTTTTTTTTTCTTGTAAAAATATCCATCATGCGTACCTAAATTGCAAAATTCCGCTACTTTTAACAAAAAATCCAATTCCGCCGCTACGCCGCTACCACTTTAAAATTCCGCTACCAGTAGCGGAATTCCGCTACTTCTGGCGACACTGCTTGTGAGTGCATCAATAACGATCCTAGCGCTATCTATTGACATTATACTAATTTTTTCCATATGTCAAAAACCCATAATAGTCTAATCATATTAGTAAATTTCTCCCAAATAATTGCAAAGTCGGGTTTTATTGATGCAAGTTGTTTAAGGGGGTATTGAAAACAGGCGCATAAATTGGGTACACCAATTTTTGTGGGAAAACCTTTTATTCGTCAACAAATAAGAATGAGAAAACGTGTTTATTGGGATTCATGAGTCCCACAAAATGAGACCACACGTAAAAAGATCCGACTAATAGTAAAAAAGTTATGGCCGAAAACCGTGACAAAATGTAGGTTTTAGCACCTGTTGCTGATGCGGCGATAATTTCACGCAGCTACTGGAAATTCTTTACCTACTTCCGTACCAACGACGTTCCGTACGCTTCATACCTCTCAATAACCACAACAAAATTGGAGTCGATTACTGAAGTAGTTTTTGAGAATATCTGATTGTTTATCCCAAAACATCTGTCTTCCGGCCATCACTACTTGTTTACTGAGCAGTATACAGGAAATTACTTTGCCGACGTGAATCATAAACCATTCTCAAAGATAATTGTTATGTTTATCCGAAAAACGAAGGGTTACATTTTTTTCTTATAAACAAATTCAAACATTTCATATATGCGAGTAATTGACCTTTATTCACTATGATATTCGAAAAACCTACGTTATTATTCACATTTTAAAACAAAGCTGATGTACCTATCACCTTTTGTTACAAAAAAACATGTTTTTTCAAGATGTCTTCATACTCTTGTGTATAAATATTTATAGCTGAAATTTTTACACTGTCACAGATGAGCCTTAAAGCTTATAAAAACCAACTTTCTGACGTTTGCGAATAAACCTCACTTATGCTATTCTATACATTGTCTTCATCATTGTATAGATTGTATTTATTGTATAGATTGTATACATTGTATTCATTGTATACCCATTGTATACATCGAGACGTAGACAATTAATGTATACGCGTAAACGCCCATCACGCGCTTGACACGGACAACTGTCAAGCAAACTATAAACAATTACAGTACTATTGAAAACTATACAAGATACAATGTTGAATCTTTAAATAATGTATTAGGGACTAATAACGAGTATTTTGCCTAATTTCTAAGACGGTCAGTCCGCTACAGTTGGCTGATATTAGTCTACCGTTTTTTCGTTGTCTGGAGTTTATTTTCCAACATTTTGAACTCGCAGTCGTTTTAATTGAACGAGATTTCGAAAACAGATGTATAGTATATTAAAGATTTTAGAAAAAAAGTCTGGTCTGTATTTCTTCGTAAAGAAACTGGATGAACGTGACCTACTTATTTGACAAAGTCATGCAGTCATCAATAATGCAGCCACTTAGCACATGCTACATACTAACTAGTCTAAGGCGGTTTGAAACATAATTGTGTCTTCAGTTTGCGTGCTAACTTTATAAACAGTTTAGCGCATTTCAGTATTTTTTATATAAATCTTAAGGCTATTCTATAACCATGTAAACATTTCAGCTCTAAATATGCATGCACAAGAGTATGAAGAAATCTTGGAGAAAAATGGTTTTCTTCGTAACAAACGGAGACACATCCGTTTCGTTTTAAAATGTGTAATATAACGTCTGTTTCTCGAATATCGTAGCGAATCTGTTCAGTTACTCACATATACGAAATGTTTGAATTTGTTTAGAAGAAAAAACGTAACCTTTCGTTTTTCCCATAAAAATAACAATTATCTTTCGGAATGGTTTGTGATTGACGTCGGCAAGGTAATTTCGTGTTTTTTTTTGCTATCAGATGCCCTTTGAATAAAGCCTGTAGATTGCTCAGTAAAATAGTAGTGATAGCCGGCAGACAGGTGAATTCTCAAAAACTACTCAACTAATCGACTCCAATTTTGTTGTGGTTATTTGAAAGTATCAAGCTTATGGATTTGAAGAATTTCAAGTAGCTGCGTGAAATGATCGTCGCATTAGCAACAAGTGCCAAAATCTGCATTTTTCCTCTGTTTTCGGCCATAGCTTTTTTACTATTAGTCGAATCTTTTTACGTGTGGTCTCATTTTGTAGATCTCATAAATACCTAAAAATCTTATTTGAAGAGTTTTTTCGTTTATACCAACACTTTCGATTGAATTCCAAAAAACGGGTTTTCTCATTCTTTGTTGTCGAAAAAAAAGTTCTCCCACAAAAATTGGTGAACCCATGTTATGTGTCCATATTTTAAATACCCCCTTGAACAACTTGCATCAATAAAACTACACTTTACAATTATTTCGTAAGCCAGGGGTATTTTCGTCTATGATGATAGTTTCAATACTAAACTCGTAGATGCCGCTAGCTGACAAAATCAATTATTGTAATATTGGTTGCATAAATTACTGATATTTGTAATTTTTTACAAAATTATTGTTGTCTAGGTTGCAGTTTATTTTTGTTTACACATATTTTAGATAAAATGAGCCGCAACGGTTTGTTTGTGTTATAATGAACCGTAGCCATATTTTTACCGCAAAGCAAAGGTCGCTTTGTGAATACCAGATAAATCGTTATACAGTTAGTCAATATTCAATCTTCAACGGATGTTTGAGTGGCTAGCGGTGAGGTGAATCCCAGATAAGCCGGCAGTTATAAGTATTATTTTCCCTCCAGTTATCTCATTGTGACACACTGGAACACTCATTTGTCTCAACCTTCGGTCAGTGAGTATCAGAGATGGGTGTAACGCGTCTAGCCTATTTCTTTCTGATATTAATTTATTTTGGAAGCGTAAAATGTGCATTTCCAAATTATTATGCAAAAATCCCAACTGTGCCAGTGAAGGAAGATCCAGGGCCACCTCTGTTATTGACACCACTAATTGAGCAAGGCAAAATCCAACAGGCTCAGTCTGCTGCGAATGTCACTTTCAACGGTTTCAAGAAGCTTAGCAGTTATTCGGGATACTTTACAGTGGATAAAAGATACAATTCAAATTTGTTTTTTTGGTTCTTCCCAGCTTTGAATGACTATCCTAAGGCACCTGTTGTGTTGTGGCTACAAGGTATACATTTCTTTCACATAATGTATTATATTATTTCATTGAATGTGTCAACGTAAAGCACTTTTATGCTGAATTGTAGAGCAACCATAAGATAGCTTTGTTAGTTTGACAGCTTTCACTTGGATATTAGATTTAATAGTTTGTTGATTAAATGTTGCGAACAGTCTATTATATGCCTTCTGCTATTCAGCATAAAAGCGCTGGACTGCTGAACCACTTTACATTGACTGAATGCACACAAGTATAACTGGAATTAATTAATTTTCGTTAATGCTGTTTCTTCTAGATTTGGTTAAAAAGAAATATAACTATTGCAGTTTCCCTAAAGTACATAAATTTTTTTTCTATTTATAACCACCAAGTCCAAACTCATGTTGCTTCTAGCAACATATGGTCCAAAAGAGTTAAAATTCTCCAACCAGACATTGCTGCTACATTCATCAATTTGCATCATATGCATGTAGCTGGAAAGTCACTGAGATGCATTTTATATTTTTACCATATTCCTTTAGCATTCTAATTGAATTAGTGCAGAATTAATGTGTGACTAAGCTGTAAAGTTTTTGGAAAAGAAAAAACGATACATGGTTTTTTTCTTTATTAAAGGTGGACCAGGGGCGTCATCACTCATTGGGCTCTTTGCAGAGAATGGTCCTTTTTCTGTAAAAACACACAAGGGCCTAAAACTTAGAAAATATGCTTGGACCAATCAACACTCTGTCATTTACATTGATAACCCAGTTGGCTGTGGATACAGTTTTACAGAGGGAGGATATGCTCAGAATGAAACTAAAGTAAGCGGGTCCTCTCAAAGTATTGCTAACAGTTATAACAGCACCTGTGTTCAACATATGTAAATTATGGAAAACACTATGGTCTATTTCCTTTTTTTGGTAGGTGGGTGAAGACTTATACAATGCAATGGTGCAATTCTTTACGTTGTTCCCCGAATTGCAAAAGAATGATTTCTACATAACTGGAGAATCTTATGCTGGAAAATATGTGCCAGCACTTGGCTACACTATCATGAAAAACAATCCGTCAGCAAAACTGAAAATCAATCTTCAAGGCTTGGCCATTGGAAATGGTTTAAGTGACCCAGAACATCAAATGGTTTATGGGGAATATCTGTACCAAATTGGCCTAATTGATTCCAATACAAGGAAGGTTTTCCAAGATATGCAGCAACAAGGTAGGAGTATATATTTTTAATCCTAAATATGATGTACTAGTATTGGATTTCTACAGAGTGAGAGGTAAATAGATGTAAAACATTTTAGGAGGTGATAGTACAGCCCCTCTGCTATCGAAATTAGTATATAATACCATACCCTATATTCAAAGGTTAAAAAGTTATTGAAGATTTAAGATTTTTTTAAAAACAATCCATATTTCAGAGTAAAAAAGTCGAGAGAGAAAAAAGTTGGCGATTAAACATTTTTTTTTGTGGTTTTGGGTTATTATTTCAATAATTAACTATTATAAATTAAAAAAAATTCGAAAAACGTATTTATTTTCATTGAAAAATGTTTAACTAAGAAAAACAAATAACGTTTTACAGTAAGTAAGGTGTTTTACAAAAAAATCAGTTTACAAAAAAACGTACAAACAATTTAAATAATATCCTTGTTTCATAAGGAATCTAAATTGGTATGATAAGTGCACAAAAACTGTGTGAAACTAAACATAATGTATTGTAATACAACAATAGGGAGTAAATTTACCAATGGCTTGTCTCCTATTTTCACAACTCTCTGATTGATAAGAAAGTGTTTTTGTGAAAATAATGTAACTGTAAGCTATGGGATAGTTATTATTTTAAACTACGGGTAAGTTACACGATTAGATTATTTACACAGTTGTAATTGTACTACAGAATAATAAAAACTGACTAAAAGTTACTACAATTGGTAAGTAAAATACAATAATGAAATGAAGGTAAAATTCATTGCAATTGTAGTCTTTTTCTCATGTTTGTACGCGTGATGCTGCCAGTTAGTTGTCCTCTGATAGTGTCAGCAGCAGCAATAATTCTTTCTTGCAACTGTGCAAGAGTGTCTATGGGCTCAGCGTACACCAGTGACTGCATGTGCCCCCATAAATAATAGTCACACGGTGTTAAATCTGGGCTCCTCGCTGGCCACGGTGTCGGTCCACCTCGGCCAATCCAGCGACAAGGATATTTCTCGTTCAGCCACTGTCTAACACCCAGACGGAAATGCGCGGGACAGCCATCGTGTTGGTAGATCATCTGCATCCTGATATTCAGAGGCAGGCGAGATACTCCCAGAGTTCGGGTCTCAAAAAGTTTTCACAGGATTCGCCATTCAGGTTGTCAGGCAAAAAAACTGGTCCAATTAGATACGTATGAATGATTCCCATCCACACGTTTGCCGAAAATCTTCTTTGATGGGCTCTTGGCTTTGCCATGTGGGGATTTGCCTCTCGTGGGGCCCAATAATGTAAGTTGTGATAATTTGTTGTCCCCTCTCTGTCAAACTTAGACTCGTCGGTCCACAATATTTTAGTTAAATAGTCGTTTTCTTCTTGATCCCGATGAAGCATGTATCGACAATCAATTCTTCTTGCGGGATCTCCTTCTTCTAATACTTGAACCGGTGTGTAATGGAAAGGGTAAAGTCTCGCCGAATGCAAAACGAACCAAACTTTCCACTGAGTTAAACCAAGCTGCTTTGCTATAACTCGTGTAGACGTCGTCGGGTCTCTGCCGTAGCATTCTAGTATTGCCTCTCGATCTTCGTCTTCAAACAACCGAGGTCTACCAGCATCATGACGTCTCTCATGAACCTGTCCACTTTCCTTGACGCGTTGGTACCCAGAAGCAAATACTCGATGACTCGGTATTCGCCGATTCGGAAAACGGTTTTCGTATTCTCGCCTGGCTTCAACGGAATTTCCATCACTTAAACAATAACAAAACAGAATATCAGCGTATTCTTCGTTACGGTAACTCGCCATTATTAAAACTGATCAAAAAAGTAAAAGTACGTCCTACCGCGTTAAAGGTTGATATTCTACTAACTAACCTAAGCGTTAGTTCCCTTTCCTTGATCCGTCAGCTGTGTCAATTCATAACACACGCAGAGCTTGCTTCCGAGGAGCGACCACAGATTCCGAATACTTAAACCCGAATAACGGCACAGGACACAAAAAATAACAAAAAGGGTCGAACCATGTAAGGCTCGGTTTACCTGCTCAGTACAGTGAAATGCGCTTAGCCGTCCTTTCTAGCAAAGTAATATTGTTTTGTTAAAAGGTTTACTTACTGATATGTTATTATACCATTTTAGAAACCTAATGAAACGAGGAAGTTTTTGCAGTTATTTGTACATTTTCTTTATTATGATTTTTTTGAAAAAAAAAGACTTCTTAATGTGAAAGTTGAAAATAAAAATTTTCATTTAACATTTAAATTAAAATAAATACGTTTTCAGTAGTGTTTTCATATGTTTTTTAATTTATGAGAATTACTTATTTAAATAATAACCTGAAACCACCAAAAAAATAATGTTTAATCACCAACTTTTTTTTATCTCAACTATTTTACTCTGTAATCTGGGTTGTTTTTTAAAAAAAATTAAATCTTCCATAACTTTTTAACCTTTGAATATAGGGTATGGTATTATATACTAATTTTGATAGCAAGGGAGCTGTACTGTATAAAGCTTGCGTCTCACCGATCTGAGGAATGTAAAGTATTTGATATGGAATAGGATGCATTGAAAAAAAAGTAGGTTGTCTGGAGAAATCTTAAATAGACAATTTTTAAGTAAATGAGTGCATTTAAATGATTTTTGGCGTTATTATTTGTCCCACGGCTAAGATCATGCGTGTTTCCTATATTAATTTAGTCAAAAGCTTAGAATAATTTGAAAACAGTATCGCGTTATGTTGCAATATTTCTCGGATTTCTGAACCTTCAAGTTTTTTTTAGGATATAACACCCGTTAAAGGTAGTCTGAATTTTACTATAGTGTTCTCATATCTAATTTACTCCCGTCAAAACAAAAAGCAGCGGGCGATGTTCAAATTCGCCCACTCTTATTGGCCCGCAAGCGACAAGCAAATGTAACCAGATCATGTTTGTTTTGACGCAAAATAAATGAGGTTTGATTACACAAACACATAGTTTCATACGAAAATAAAAGTAACACAACCTAAGAGCAGTTTCGCCAATCGCAATACTTTCGACCCCTACATACGGCAGCAGGAAGCAACAGTGTCCCGCCATCTCTGACCGGCAGAGCTCGCTTCTATGAATCCAGACAAGGACATCCACCACATAGGCGTCTCATTTTCACTCGGGCTAGTACTAATAAAACACCCATAAATTATTGTGGCCGTTAGGTGCCGCCGATTCTGGTGGTATAGTGATACTACTCGCCATTGAACAAACTACTGGTGGCCCGGCTGACAATGCGAACTGGGATATAGTTCCAACAGGGCACCTTTCTATTTTCACTCTCGCAGTAGTCGATTCTGGAAATAGATGGCACTTTGTGCTGTATTATTTCGATAGACCTTATACTCTGGATAAAGGATAGTTGCTCAACTTTCGTTTGTTGTCCTACCTGAAACCAAGCCTAGACCATGCTGTGAATTTTTTACATATTTATGACCATATGTCGACTGGACTCTCGCGACTCGAGCTGCTGCTAACTCATCGTCGACTCTCTTATTCTGCGGAGCGCCTATTTATTTCAAAGTGACCACTTCATAGCCTTCCAGACAGAACAAGAGCCTTCATCGATGCTAGCTAGGTGGCATTCCATGTTTCTACATGTAGAAGGCCATAAATGCTTTCCGATGAGTGTCGATCTCTATCGATGCGTGGTCGCATAATTGGTTGCCAAGCATCGATGTTACGGAAGTGCCTCATTGTTCCAGTTACACTATATTACGTTTGTTCAACGGCGACTAGAATCTACAATATGAATTACCAGAACCGACGGCATCTAGCGACCACAGTCAGAGACAATGCGAACTGGGATACAGTTCCAACAGATAGTTTGCTGTTTTCACTTTCGCAGTGATCGATTTTGGTAATAGATGCACTTTGTGCTATCTTATTTACATATTATCTTGTTTGCTTTCCATATGAATAGACCTATAATGTACTGATGATTGCTAAAAGGCATAAAACAACATTATATATGGTTGGTGATGGTCGCAGACACGGAAAACAATCAGATCTTATTCAGCCTGATAAATCAAGTTGTGGAATTAAGAACAACGCCAAAATTACCCTTTTCAATATTTAATTGAACGTATGTAGTATATTTAGGATTTCATTAGGCAACCTATTTCCAATAAGTTTTTTAATCCGCAATTTTTTTTTCTTTCGGATCTTAAACTCTACGCATTGATTAACGTATTCCACCTAAATACGTACTATAAGTAACCCGCTATTTCATTTTTTCTTTCAGGAGTCAAGTATATCCAGAACAAGCAATTTGACAAGGCTTTTGATATCTTCGACAAACTTCTCAATGGAGACTTCAACAATCACACTTCAGTTTTTTCGAATGCCACAGGTTTCGACAGCTACTTTAACTACCTTTACGACCGAGATCCTCTTGATGAAGAAGTAGAACTTGCAGGCGCGTATGTCCAAAGAGACGACGTTAGAGCGGCAATACACGTCGGCAACCTTTCTTACCACACAGAAGATCAAACTGTGGAGACCAACCTCAAGAACGATGTGATGCAGAGTGTTGCACCTTGGATCTCAGAGCTTCTAAGCAATTATAGGATTCTGATCTATAATGGACAGTTGGATATCATTGTGGCTTATCCTCTAACAGAGAATTATCTGCAGAATCTTAAGTTCAGTGGTTCTGATCAGTATAAAAATGCAAAAAGGTTCCCTTGGTATGTTGGACAGGATTTGGCAGGGTATGTCAAGCAATGTGGGAACCTCACCGAGGTGCTTGTAAGAAATGCTGGGCATATGGTGCCAGCTGATCAACCTCAATGGAGCGTTGACTTGCTAACAAGGTTTACCAGGAATAAACCTTTTCATTCAAAACCTACTAAGTTGAAGCACTGATTTTAGTAGGTGGTAATTTTCCATATGATCAATGTATTGATATTATCTACCAATAATTATACTTTGTTCATGTCCTTGACACTTAAATAATGCTCATGACACTTATGATAATGTTGGTATTTCAAGATTACCCTTTGTGCATATATTATATATAACATTGTTCAATAAAATTTTTGGAAAGTTTTTATCTGTTCTTGACTTATAATCGTCCACCCAGATAGAAACTTATAATTCTGAAACTGAAAAAAATTATAGTGGATTAGGATAATGACTTGAAATGTTCAACTGCATGGCAATACATCAAAAATATCCATGCCTGAGACTATGTCACTTGGAAATTGGTAAATTTTTAGTACTATGACCCCTACAAATGAAAAAAGAAAATTATACCCCATACCTTACTTGTTTTAAATTTGTTGCAAAGTCCCATAATTTGATTTTTTTCAGGAAACAGTAAAAACAGTCTCACTGACAAATAAACCAGTTTTAAAGTATACTCAGTGATATTATAAGTGTTACTTCCAGAAAAAATAATTTCTTCAACTTGTTTTCTTTTTGCAACAATGACTATATCTTTGATTTGTTTACCTTTGTTAAAATGTTATCTCTTTGTTTTTGTGAAGAAAGTAGTTTTTGAGAATTAGTACAGATATTTTTAGTTATTGCCCTGTCTCGTACACCACTGTCGTCAACGTTTGAACTGGAGCAAAGAACGGCAACATTGGGAGACAGAATGGCATAATGTCATCTTCAGCGACGAATCGCGATTCTGTCTATACTACAACTATTTAAAACTGTAATGACTCATACGCGTGATCAACACGTGATCAGAGCTCGATCCCGGCTTCCTTCCAGTACAGCCGTATAGCGTATGACATATGTCGTTTCTGTGGCTTTGCGGTGGTCAACAGCACAGACAGAGATGGAAATAATGGCTGATTGTTCTCCGCCGGTAGAACCAATGAAATCAAAGACGCGCCTCGACCGGCAGACTCATAGGCGTCGGCAACGCATTGGAACGTGTTTCGTTGAGCGATCGCGTATTGTGTGTTTTTATAAGAATTGTTGTGTGATTGTTATTGTTGTGGTTACTGTTTTGGTTATACTTAACCATGGAGAGTACAAATGGCACGAGTGGAAGTACTGAAAGCCAGGGAACAAGTAGACGGCTTCGTAAAGCACTGAAGAGGGACGCGAAAGAAATCGTGCTCAACGTGTTTAATTATCTGAACAGAACTATGTCGCAGGGAGATGCACTCGCGCGTTGTGAAAGTATGACAGGCGTTCCAGAGTGGACCATTCGCAGGGTGGTGCATGAAAAGAAGAAAACTGGAGCTACTACTGATCCAAAGTTTAATTTGAAGGGACGAAAGGCCGTTAAATTGGATGACGATAGCAAAATGGCGTTAAGGCGAACCGTACATTCATTCTTCTTTAGGAATGAGATACCAACCCTCAAGGCTGTACATGCAGCGATCAAGGAAAATGAAATTATACCCCAAATGAGCGTCGAGGTAATGAGGAAATCCCTGCATGAAATTAATTTTCGTTACGAAACGCGTAATCGGAAGTCAGTATTGATAGAGAGACCTGAAATAGTCGCCTGGCGCCGAAAATACCTACGCGAAATGATTGAATATAGGCGACAAAGCAGAAAAATCTATTATTTGGACGAGACATGGGTAAATGCAGGTCACACAGTTAAAAAAACCTGGATAGACAAAAACGTAGTGAGTAACCGACAAGCAAGCATTGAAGGTTTGTCAACAGGTCTTCGTGGACCGTCAGGGAAAGGTCAAAGATTGATCGTAACTCATATCGGTAGCGATAGTGGCTTTTTAGAAGAGTGTGACTTGATTTTCGTCTCTAAGAAAGGAGGTGATTACCATGACGAAATGAATGCCAGCTGCTTCGAGAGCTGGTTTCAAGGGGTGCTTCAGCGAGTTGAGCCCAACTCTGTGATCGTCATGGATAATGCTTCCTACCATAGTCGTCAAGCCGAACGTGTACCGACTATGGGATCCCGAAAAAGTGACATGCAGCAATGGTTGCGCGAAAAAGGAATCCCGTTTGACGATTCATGTGTGAAAGCGGAATTGTATGAAAAAATTAAACAGCACAAACCTGCGAACATTAGTTACGTGACTCATGAGATGGCCCGTCAATGTGGTGTCACTGTGCTGCGGTTACCGCCCTACCACTGTAAACTGAACCCAATAGAGCTCATCTGGGCTCAAGTGAAGGGTTATATTGCGCGCCATAACACAACCTTCAAATTACCAGACGTTAAGGTTTTACTTGAGACTTCCATACAGCTAGTAACGCCCGAAGCTTGGCAGAATGCTATCCGTCATGTTGTGAAGGAAGAAACAAAAATGTGGCAGCTTGACCACTACATCGACACCATCATATAGCCAGTTATAGTCAATTTCAACGAGGAAAGCGATAACGACAGTTTATTACTGTCAGATGTAAGTGGAAGCGACGATGAATAAAGGTAATTCCCAAATTTTTGACTTACAATATGTTTCAAACCACTCTTTATTAAGCATGTGACAAATCTAGTTCACCCATGTTAAACATTCATACCCCGCCTACGAACAGCCGACTACTGGTAGTTAAGTGATGTTCACGTGAACATCGATGAGTCATTACAGTTTTAGATAGTTATAGTATAGGTACGCACGTCCACATATGGCTCGTCGTACTACGGACTTTCTTCAAAAAGCAGGTGTTAATGTTTTGTCGTGATTTAAATCCCATCGAACATGCGTGGGATATTGATGGGGAGGAGACTATCCACTTTGCACCATCTGCCACAGTCAATCCATGAAGTTCGAGTTGCTTGGAATGAGGTGCCACAACTATCAGACATCGATCATCACATTTTGTCGATGCCTGGACGCATACAGGAGTGTATTCTGCTGCGGGGTCGCCCAACACATTAATTTTTTTACAAAATTGGAATTTCGAATAATCACGGTTTATCAATAATAATCAGGAAAGCCCGAAAAACTGTTATGTACTCAAATTGTTTTAGCATGAAATAGCGTTGGTTTTACCAGCAACTTAAGCAAAAGGATCATTAATCATATTTTTTATTGCTTATTAATGAACGTTGCACTTGAATATTGACTTCTTGGCACGTCATGTTTTAATTTTCCTTGTTTTAATATTTTATGATACATAGGGAAAACCCGGGCACAGGGAACACCAAAGAAGTCGAATTACATCCAAACCATGAACCAGACTTTCGTTTAACTTTCATCAATAATCGGTAATCCGTTGTAGAAGAATCTACGTGCTTATTATTTCACTACCAGACACCAAAATATGTATTTTCAACAAAATAATTTATATGGCAATATACGTAGGTGTTGTATAATTCCATCCTTATCCTATCTATACGAACATCTATTCAAAACACTTATCATTGATTTATAGGACTTGTTCAGTAATACAGATGAGGAGGATTGTGTCAATGGTTTTGGCAGGAAATAAGAAATCTCTTGAACAAGTGGTTTCGGGCAAAGCAGATAACACCTGTAATCTTGCGTCGACCCGCTTCTCAAATATATTTTTTGTCGCAATTCTGGTACCATACTGTTAAAACGTGACCGGTACTTTTTCACTTAAATGCAAGGTCAAGTATTGGAGACAATTTTGTGGAATGCTTTATCAGTTTATTTTAAATTCAATAAGTAATACCATCACAAAGCAACGATTTTAAATTCGTATATAAAAAATCTATAAACAAAATATTCATGTATTAGGCACTGCTGAAATTACATTTCGCTCAAAAACTTCATTTCACACTAGTGATTAAAATATAAAAATATTTCTGGCAATTATCACAAGATTCATAAAACTGCTAGAATAAATTGAACTTAAATATACATATACAATATACAATTCCTCGATAATAAAAATATATGCTACACAATCTAATTTCGTTTCTAGTTGATGTATCTCACAGCTGATTCAGTCTTAACAGTGGTTAAAACATTTTGGACTGCCATTTTCATGTAACCGCTAATAGATTTTGGGATTGGAACAAACCTAAAAAATAAGAATATGGCACTGCAGATAATCAATATTTTTGGACTGCCATTTTCATGTAACCGCTAATAGATTTTGGGATTGGAACAAACCTAAAAAATAAGAATATGGCACTGCAGATAATCAATATTTAACAATTAGCGGTTGGTTTTGTCAGAAAAAAATGTTCAGTGCATATAATACCAAAAGATAACCAATAGGGAATATGCATGATTGTATTCTGTCTATTATTTACCTTAATATGATACCGTAAACACATTTCATTCATGGAAATGTCTGTATTTATTTTTGTTTAATTATTAACCCGCAATATTTCATTTGTTTGTCTTTGGTTAATTTATTGCTGTTTTAGTATAGAATAAGGTTGATGGTGTCATTTTTCAGCAACATTAAGCAATTTTAAGTGATCTACCACCCAAAACCGGTTGTGTTTGGTTTCAACTTTTCCATTTTCAGCGACGTGGGTTGCAACAGCTGTCAATTGATGACGTTCCAAACTGGTGATTTCTATCAGGTTCCTAATGTCAAATGTCAACCCAGTAATATAACATAGCCCTTTCCACATACCCAGGGGTGCTGGCGGCCCAAAGAATGAATTTAAGTGAGATTTTCAAAAAAAGTAGTGAGAAATAGGGAATTTACACAAAAAAGGTGAGTTAATTATCTGAGAAATTGAATATCATAATGCCAAATTTAAACGAATAATATAAATAAGGTCTTAGTTACTGTTTTATTCGTAAGCAAAAATACTTATTCTTATTCATCAAATGCAGACAACAATGCATAAAAGGAACCTAAAAAATATAACAAATTCTTATAAATGCGGGAGACGTACTTATATCTATACGTATATTAAGTATTCTTGCCCAATTTATTGAACCTACATTTCAGCGAACTATCTAATATTAAAAAGTTGAACTTTGATATAGTTATTATAGATGAGTATTTTGTACAGAATAGTTGAATAACTTAAACGTCGGACCGTAAAACTAGAGTACTTGTCATTAGGAATCAAGCGAGACTCGATGGCCACTTCCTGGCTCCATTACCAGATGGATCATCTCCATATCATAATGATATTGCATTTTCAATTGTCATATTAAACGTCCGCCACATTGAATTAGAATATGCCACTTTATTTATTGTGTTTCTCTCATTTGATATTCGTAATATGGCTATGGAAATTATAAATTGGTTTTTTGGGGCGGTCGACATATTTGGATCGTGGGTGAAGAGGTTTAGAGAAACATTTTCAGCTTTCAATGTGAAACGCCCTGGTCGACCAAGGACTGTACCTACTCCTGAGCATGTTGAAGCTGTACGCGCCGCTATTTTTTTTTTATATCGAAGCAGCCGCGCAGGCAGAAGCCCAAATGCCGAAACACCGCGGCTGCTATGATGATCCCAAAGAAATTTTGTTAATAAGATTTGTGAACTGCCTACGGTTAGTAGAACTGGGCCAGTTCTGGATGTACGAAGTTCGACACGGTTTGGATGGGACGCCAAAGTCAGGCGGGTCTGCCTGGCAGGCACATCGTGCTGCGGCATCATGGAAGAGAGATCTGAGGAGCAAAGACCGTTGGTGTAGCGGTAGAAAAGAGCTAGGTCGCGGACGGCCTGCCGGTGCGAAAGTGTCCCGAGACTGTCTGTTAGAGAAGAGTCATCGATTAGCCTCCAGGTCTCTTGTCAGAGAGGAAGTCGTCGCTAGTCTTCTTTTTTCCACCTCAGCGGGAGAGATCGGTTTGTCAGTCTGAATTCCTGCATATAGAGTGCTATCAGTAGTGAAGCTGTGGATTGGGTTGATCGTGCAGGAAAGGAGGTCGTTGATATGTAAGAGAGACAGTGTCGGAGCCAAGACCGATCCCTGGGGAACACCTGCGTTGATGTTGTGGGATAGGGGGGAACCCGTCAATTACGACGGATATCTTGCGGCCAGAGATAAAGTCAGCCACGCATCTGCAAAGCTTTTCTGGGAGGCTAGAATTCAATATCCAAGTGGATCTGTTCGAAAAACATCACAGGCGGTGGAATTCCGTAAATCATCTCTTCATATAATTTTAAGGAGAGATTTAAAGCTTCATCGCTACAAGATCCAAATAGTGCAAGAATTAAACCCAAATGTCTTTAGAAACCGTTTTTTTGCAAACAACCGAAATAACAACATTCTGTTCAGTGACGAGGCACACTTTCACCTTTCAGGCACAGTCAATAAGCAAAATTGTCGCTATTGGCCACCAGAAAATCGAAGTCAAAAATACGAAAGGCCCCTACCTAGCCCAAAAGTAACTGTGTGGTGTGCAATGTCGGCTTCAGGAATTATCGGTCCGTTCTTTTTTGAGAACCAAGGTGGCCCAGACTATAACTAGTGGTCGTTATTGTGTAGTGCTTAGTTTTTGGTACCTCAGCTACAAGAATTTGATGGCTTTGATCAAGAAACATGGTTTCAACAAGACGGCGTTACCGCAGGTACAGCCCGAGCATCTATGGAAGTCGTTCGAGAATTATTCCCAAAAAAGGTCATCTCTCACTTTGGCGACCTAAACTGGCCAGTTAGGTCGCAAGATCTAACCCTATTGGACTTTTTTTGTGGGGATACCTTAAAAGTAAAGTTTATGTTAATCGACCTAGGACTTTGCAAGAATTAAAACAAAAAATACGGGAATAAATTAGAGCAACTTCACCTGAATTATGTTAAGCAGTTTTTAACCACATGAAGATGGCATTGCAGGGTGTTTTGATCCAAATGGAAGTCACCTCGACAATATATAGGGTTGTCCAATAGGGAAAGTAAACGTCAATTTGACATAGACGCCAACTTTGTTTTCTGTCACCGACATGTCATGTTGTTAGTTGAATGTTTACCATTGATCGCTATGGAGTCGTATTCGATTGAAGACCGCATTAAAGTTATTCAAGAGCACTACAAAAATGGTGCAAAAATAAAAAACACGTTTCGCGCGCTTCGTGAACATTTCGGTCGCAACAACCGCCCAAACGAAACAACCATTCGGTCGTCTGGTGCGTAAATTCGAGGCAACAGGTTCTGTGGCAAATCTGCCAGGCTCTGGCCGGCCAAGGAGCGTTCGCACACCGGAAAATATTGCTGTTGTGAAGGAGAGTGTGAGAGACGATCCGAAACAATCAACAACGCGTCGATCCCAAGAATTGGGCATTTCGAGAACCAGTTTGCTCTGCATTCTCCACAAGGATTTGAATGTACACGCCTACAAGATCCAATTGACGCAAGAGCTGCGTCGGGCCGACCATGTTTCGCGCCGAACGTTCTCAGATTGGCTCCTTGAACACCGCCAAATTGATGCCAATTTTTCATCAAAAATCATGTTCAGCGACGAAGCGCATTTCACTTTGAATGGGACGGTAAACAAGCAAAACTGCCGCATCTGGACGAACGAAAATCTCCGTGAGTATCAAAAGCAGCCGATGCATCCTCAAAAAGTGACTGTGTGGTGTGCATTGTGGTCAAAAGGCATCATCGGACCTTACTTTTTCGAAAATGCGGCCGGGGACGCCATTACCGTCAATTCTGAGCGATATCACGTGATGATAGAGGACTATTTTTGCCGCAACATGAAGGAATGGATATGGACGATGTTTATTTCCAACAAGACGTTGCAACATGCCACACAACCAACGTCAATATCCATCGATTGCAGTCCTTCTTCGGTGATCGCGTGATTTCGCGCAGAGGAAATGTGCCATGGCCACCAAGATCGTGCGATTTGACTCCCTTGGACTTCTTTTTATGGGGATATTTGAAAAGCAAAGTCTACGTCAACAAACCAGCCACCCTCCAAGAACTCAAAAACAACATCATTGCCGAGATAAATGCCATAGAACCGACCATGTTGCAAAATGTCATTGAAAATTTCGACCATCGCGTGGACGTCTGTAAATCCAGTCGTGGTGAACATTTGAGCGATATTATTTTTCATACATAAATGGTATAAATGAACCTTCAAAATAAAGTACACAACTTGATTTGAATATCAATCTTTCTTGTTTTAACATGCGTTTACTTTCCTGCGTCCGCTTTGGACAACCCCATATAATCTCTCTCTCACTTACCTATAAACCAAATAACCTCCAAGTACCAACAATGAAGTTTTGAAAGTATATTTCACTATTTTTGACGTGAGTGTTGGTGGTGGGATAGTCATCATGTCTTTAACGTAACGACTTTGGTCATGTGGCCATAATTTAGTGATGCCTTGTACATGACCCATTCCTACAACTCCTACTATTCTCAAGGGTTCAGTTAAAACTTCTGTGACACCTAAAAATATGCCAATTATATAACAATATTACCAATGGAGTTTTGATGGAATTTACCCTCTTGGTTACTATATCTCACTTGAGATTGTGCAGCAGCTTGGAGAGAATTAGTTAGAATTATATCCCTTTCATCTAAGAAAACCTCCCTAAATCCTGGAAAGTCACCAGATAGCTCTGCCATTAGCTGCTCTATCATATCACGATTTTTACATTTCTCTATATCTTCAACACTGCAAATCACAAAAAATCAAAACCCTATGAATCACAAACAAGAAGAAGTTTGCTTTCAACAGAGGATGTTCAAGAAAGTACCTTGACTGCAGCTTTTTGTCTTAAACAGAAAAAGACTACCTATAAAGGACCTGCATTTAAACTTTAGGCTAGTTTTCCTTAAGTTTTGAAAAAAAGGAAGTTATGCCGCCACACCCTGTGGATTACCTTATAGGTTCCTTGAGAGCTAGTAGTTGCCAGGTTAACTTCAATGTTTGGAACCAGGTCAGTCTTGATACAGCCCTAAGAATTGTTATATTTATTGGCCTATCTCCTAAATGCAACTTGCAGTTTGGTATTTTTGAAGCCTAAAACAAGAATATTGCTTAATCAGCCAGCATACAGATTTATGAGTTTAAGCTTAAAAATTTCACTTAATGGGCGCAGATCTCTTCTACACCCTATTTCACGAGTATCCATCACGGAACAATGACAGCTAGTTATCTAGTAATATTTCAAAATTCCCCATATCGGCGCAGGACGCATAATTAATTCCGAGGAATCGGTGAACTCCAGGTAGACAGACCTGTATTTTGTTGTAGTTCTTTGTACGCTACAGATTCATTTTGTACTTGCTAACTCTTATTTAAAAAAGTTTCTTTGCAAACGAAAGAAATGCTAGAAGCACAATGGCTGCTAATGACCATGACTACATTTCAAGTCATCGTTACATATCTAGGAAATCTGAAATTCCAGAAAGTATATTTTATTTTTATTTTGCTCTTCGAGTGGTATGATGCATTTGATGTATCACAATAATATGGCATGGTGGTGGGTCGGTTTCGTAATTTTGGGTGAATGTATTAGTTTTGATGTGATTAGTTATCTGCTTTTGGTGAATTCCATTACACTAATGACGGGCAACAAACCAGAAACACGTGTCTATATTATTTTTGCAGCTATATTTACAGCTTCTGGAAAGGACTATGCAACCTGTTCTATTGACATACCATGTAATCGACAAATCCCAGATGTACTATAATAATTTTCTATATAAACTTTTTAATATCTGTACTTAAAAATATAATCCTGATATGTGAACAACAGCTCTGGGTAGGACTATACTTTAGCGCATATCGCAAATACTTCATTTCTTACTTTAAAATGAAAGATTAGGATGTAACTTTCACGAAAATCTTTATTTTTTCTTCAAGGAACTCTCTTCTTGCTATTTTATAGAACTTCAAAGTTGCATTTTTGGAGGTAATAGTCTAGAATAGTGTTTTATACGCTGTCTTTTTTTGCTATATACTGCTTCGAAGTTGAGTCATTTATTTTAACAGTGAGTAGATCTGATCAAAATAAATGTTTTTTTCCTTTACCATTTTTCTGGTAAAATTAAAGTAACAAAGTTATAGCCCTTTGGAAGTTTGAGTACCGCCCTGTCTCAATAATAATATCATGTACTCGTGTTTGGCAACAACGGATATAATCCACCTTATCGGTTCATCGCATCGGAAACAAAAAAGCGAAAGAATTTGGAACGACGTTTTTGCAATTAAGTGTTTTATTCAGTTCAGTTATACATACAGTCAGTATCTGTCGGTTAGCGTGTGAATAGTTTCTGTTGCGTGGCTCAAACGAAATAAAAAATGGCACATGTTTATGCGGATCGGTTTCCCAATCGAGTGCAACCAACCCCTCGTGCCTTTGTTAATGTAGTACAACGGGCTCGTGAATCAGGTGACTTAAGACCTCACAGGGGACCTCACGATCAAATACAGGTCCGCACTGAAATACTTGTCGGGAGGATACTTTATAAAACAAGGTAAAATTTTTTTTTTAATTTTTTTTTATTTTTACACACATATTCTGGTTTATCTTCCTTCTACAATCATTATCTGAAAATTAATGACTCAACTTCAAAGTCACCCTGTATATACCGCGATGTTGCCAAATTGAAGAAATATAACGAAAATTAACGAAAATACGCATTTCCACGCGTAGCAGCTCTCCTTTTAGTCTAGAATTTGATCCCCTCTGAGTCGCGGCGCGCTTGAGCGCGCCCCTAGTGCATTAGACATTATGTAGGGTTGTGTGAAGTCATACGTACAAATTTAATTATTAAGAATATCCATCAACAACGAAAACCTATTAAGTAATGAAATCTGGCAACATTGCACAGTCTTTGAAAACAAACATGCATTAAAAAACTATTATATAGTAAAATATTTCAGAACTTGTATGTTCGCGCTCATATCCAGGCCCATTCCTTTCATCTACACCCAAAAACCAGGGTCTAAAATCATTTTTTCATCAAAAACGGCTGCTGCAGTTAAGCTACAGAATTACCTAAGAATATAACATACACTGAATAGTACTAAGGAAAATAGATGTGAATAACTGTAAAAAATCTTTGTATAAAAGGTTCAAAACACACATTAGCTTATTAGCTAAAATAACAGTTCAAAATACATACATAAATGATTACTTGGTAAACTGTGTAGAGGTGTTGCGTTGAGATTTTTCAATGTCTTCTTGAAATTCCGTAACCATTTTTTTCGCATATTTTCAATGAGGGCAAAGTTTTTGGGTTTATAAGAAATATTTGAAAGTACAAACAATTATCAATGAGCAATTTATAACGTTCATTTCTTGGCAGATAATATAAATGATGTCGATTGTTACCAAGTCGTACCTTTTTTTGGAGAAATACGCAATAAGAAATGAGGTTATTTGCAAGATAAAAGTCTTAATTTATTGTAAATGGCTTGTTTTATGAGAAGTTGCCTCAATATTTACCGAAAACTAGATGAAATTTTGCACAGTATGTGTCTACACAGTGGAAAGTGCACCAGCGGCTTGCGTGACATAAAAAATACAAAAGGCACCAGCGGTCATTGCATATAAAAATACTCGACTCCGATTCGACGAGGTCCACGCAACATATCATCGTCCAACATTATAGTTAAATAAAGATCAACGATCATTTCATGAAACCATCAAAAAACTTGCAATATTCTGTGTTATGTTTTCATTATTTAGTGATTGACAACAGCTACTTTTTCAGTTACTTCTCATAAACAGTGTCGGCGAATAGCGTGTGGATTTTCCACGCTCCATGAATGGAAATTGTGCATGTTAAATATTCCATTTCGGTTAAAGGTGGATGCATCTGTCCATAACATGCTGTCGAAAAAAGTTTCATCCTCTTCGCACCTTCTCAACATACTCTCACAAAATTCAACCTGTTGTGCATAGTCGTTTGTAAGCAATTTTTGTACTTTTTGACCATGTTCTCCGAGCGTAGTATTGTGTGCACTGAAGTATGAGATATGTTTCTGCTTTGGGCAATGGCTCTGGTACTTAAAGAGGGATCTCTTTCAGCTGCTTCTATTAAATCTGCTCCTTCTTCTGAGCGTATCCTCGGCGCTCCTAGTCCTAGCTGACGGTGAGTGCCGCATTATAGACACGTAGAAAAACGCGGTGTTCGGTTTGTTATCCACCTCTTCTAACCACATACTCCCGATACATGCGAGCAGTTGCTCGCTAGAATTTCTTGTTTACATGTATCCCACCTGCGTCAAACATAGAGATTTTTTAAGGTGAAGCACTTATCGTAGCAAGCTGAAATTTTCAGGGTTTATTCTAGATGGATTGAAATAGTTTTCACAATAAAATGAATAATGAAATACAATCTCAATTTTTTAGCACCCTCCAAAGTTGAGGGATGGAAGAGATTTGTCACAAAAAAATGAATTTAAGATTTTTTGCGTTGATTTCTAATTAGCTTTGTTAAAAAGTGACAACCATTGCTAAAACTAATCATTTAGCTCTTCTCGAAAAAAATTACAGCCCTAAACCTAATGGTTTAGTTGTAATTGCACTTGAAATATCATTATTCCCTTTTTATTTTAAATTTCACAAAATTCCAAATATCTCCTGAACTATGAAATTTCGGACCACACATATAGGGGTTCATTCGATAGGCTTTGAGGCAGTCTATCACCTGACTTTACACCCTGTATATCATATTTAAGTAGGTACCTTTTGTGACATCAGCTTCACTTTAAATAATTCTTCAAGTACATACATACAAAAAGTAAACAGATTATAACTATAATATAGGAAAAACAATAACCCAAGTACTTTTGTGAAGGGCATGAGGCATTCTTCAAGTGTTTTTAGCTAACCCAGGGCACGAGGTGGATTTAGTGCTGGCCATACCTCCAAATCGCATTTTCATGAAAATTCTGTAGATAAGTAAGAATTTGACAAACCAAATTAAGGTATATATGATTTGGCAACATCGCAACTAGATGGAGTGAGTATGATAGTGATGGTGGTGTAGTGATGGGAATACTGAAATAAAAGAAATGACTACTTAACAATGAACTATATTCATCATTGAAATAGTGCAAAATTGCATTATTGCAATGAACAGTGTCAGAGTAATTTACAGTGTATCTCATATTCATATAATTTTGAGTAATCTTTTATGTGAACAAGTAAAAAACAGCTTATCAAGCAGTATTCTATACCACAGTATTATCACCCAAAATGCAACTTTGAAGTTCTATAAAATAGCAAGCAGAGGGTTCCTTAAGGAAAAAATGATATTTTTGTACAAGCTATATTCGAATCTTCCATTTTTTCAAATAAATAATGAAATATTTGAGATAAGTGCAGCCCATCTCTGAATAGTCCCGAAATTCATTGTCGCCAGCATTACAAATTAACACAAAGATGTCGCTTTCATGATTATGATTAGCTGTTCACCTCAAGGCATGATGGATACTCACACACAACAATCACAACAATTTGATGTTTATATCTAGAAAAAGATAGACTGGTTCTATAAACAAATTCAATAAGCTCAATGGAAATGCTCTTACTTCTTTTGCTGCAACTCTAAATTCTCCTCCAGGTGCCATACCAATTTCCTTGGTGATATGGGCAGTCATTTGTAACAACAAAATATACATCAAACCATTATATAAGCCACTAGACTTGATAGAAGATATTATCTTGTGCATATCAATGTTTTTTGCCTCTTCTAGGATAGTTTCTTCATCTAAACATAACATGTTCGTTCTTGAGGTACATAATTCTAGCACCACAATATGAGGCTGAACAAGCTTGATAACTTTTATTACATCTTCTTGCGATTCTTTGCTAAAGTGTGCAGTTCCGACAAGGTAGACTTTGGCACCATTTGTAGGATGTTTCAGTAGGGTCACCGTTTCCGGTAGATTGTTATCAAAATCGCGTGTACTGTATCTAGTAACTTCGACATCTGCATATCCTACTATTTCCAACTCACCGCTCTTATCTGATCCTGAGCCATTTTCTGAATCAGTTGCCAATCTGACGGTACTTTCGGTTAGTTCTACAAAGGGGACATCAACAATATGTTTCAGATACCATATGTTTATATAACTATTTTTAATTTTTTTCTTACCGTAGTTTGCTAAAGATCTATCCATGATGGCTGAGCTATAACTTCCAAATCAGATGATTACTAACGAAAACAATAAAAAATAAATAAAACTAATTTATCAAGTGAAAATGTTGCTTGCTCATATGGTTGTTGATGTGTGAATTGCTAAAGCTGCGTTTATACGAAATATTTCACAAAGGAACTGAATATAAGAATCGGAATGTTAATGATTGTACGCTGTTCAGTAGAACTTTTGAAATTAAGAGTATGGTCTTTTGAGTAATTTTTTCAGTGTTTTTTGTTTTTGAATAAACAGACGATCCAAAACTAATCGTCGATCGTCGTGTGAGATGAGCTTATATAAAAAAAATAATGGGATCCACGGAACAGCAAACCGAAAATATAAAACCTATAAGAGTTTTCACAAAGTTAAGCAGCCATCTTCCAGGGTCATCAATTTTTTTCTATCTGAACTTGACTGGAGGATGTGTAAAAACATTGATGAACCTTATGTATCCACTCAAATCTTATTAAATATTGCACACATCTTATTCACGGTGCAAAAGTCCCAAAATGAAAGAAATATTTGCTTGACGCTTTAAAAGGTAACCTGCAGGATGGCAGAAAATCTTACGTGTAATCTTATATCAGCGAGGTACTTCCTGAGTTTTCAAGTCCATGCCTAAGGGCCCTGTTTGTCATTCAAACATAACCACAATTGTTTTTTCGAAATTACTTTGAAAACTCTATTTTCTTGTAATTGTATCTTTAAAAGGTACAATAACTGCCGTTATATAATATCTACATTAGGGACCCAAAGGTATAAAATGATTAGAGGCTTTGTAAGTAAATGGAAGTGGTTCGAAAGTTGAATAAATAATAAAGCATATTTTATTTGTTGCAGTTTTCGTTTCTGCTAGGAGTATATGCTGGTGTTTATATTGCTCAAAATTATGATGTGAGTTTATAAGAAAACTCTCAAGTTTTGCAAGATATACATGCCAATTTCTTTACAGATACCAAGGGTAGATGAACCAACAGCACTATATGAGAAAATCAAGGATTTTGCAGATAAACATAGAAAGCAATAGCAACATTATCAATTTTATTTCTTATACATTAATTTAAATATACACATATAGATACTGTGAACTTAATTAAGTATCATTCCTCCTCCTAAGTATTCTAACCGAGTTGGTGGTTCAACAAAGGCTAGCCAATCACTTGCATGTGTGGGCAACAACCCCATACTGTGACATTTATAAAGAGCAAGTCCTATATTCACAAAATTCCCAAGAATATACACAATCATTTGTAGTATAGCATTTGAGGTCTCCATCATTTTGAAAGTAGTTTTTGCAGACCAAATAGCTTGCAATGGTTTCATGAATAACATCCCAACCATCATTATAGGGAATATAGAAATAGAGTTCCCAGCCATGTACATGATGAACAGGTTCATCGGTACTTGTTTTAATGGGGCCAGAGCAATGTCCCAAGACTTTTTGTTTATCAGACGAGACACGTCCGTCTTCTTCGAAACTTCTGCATTCGAGTTTACGCTTGACGATGAGTAACCAGGTGGAGAGGCTAAAGCTTCAGCAGAAACACGGTTCGTTCTAAAAATTGTGATATTTCAGCGAGATACTGCATTGCTAGGTGCCAGAAATCTGCAATACAAACCTTATACTATCCAGGCTCCATTTGGTTCTTAAGTTTTGTGTTTTATTAGCCATTGTATTGTATTTATGTGCCTCACTAGATAAGTTTATTGTGTTTATATATTTTTCAAATACATAAAAATTCTTTTTGGCTTTGATGTAAAAAAACTAAAAAATCAATTTAATATGACGTTTGACTATGACGTTTCATTTTGTTTTGACGTTCGCGACAGTGTTGCCAGTTCCATATTTATTTCATCAGTAAATGGGTTGCCAAAAATTCAGTAGATTTCAGTAGATATATATTTGATGCAAATTTTAGGAAAGGGCAATAAAAAAGACCTATGAAATCGAAAAAATATGTATTTTTTATAAATAAAGAAAACTTTTGTGCGTAACAAAATATAGGAATATGTACACAAAACAAAAATTTTAACGTATAATATATATATATATATATATATATATATATATATATATATATATATATAATAAAGTTACTTAGGATATACTCATCAGATACGAGTACATAAAAAATCTTTGAAATCAATTTGATAAAGTGGGGACTGTATGAGTACTTCCCTTTTTATAAAACATTCTAAAAAAGAATTATACACAGTACTTATAGATTTGTATAAATCTTGGATAGCCGGTTTCCTGATTTGGGCCTCCCTTAAAAACCACCATATCTGTTAACGTTCCCTGCTTTTTCTGAGATCTGCATAGTTTAATGTGCATCGCACTATCCTGATGCCGAACTAGTGCTAATCTGCCAGTACTTTTAATAGAAATATCTTTATTGCACACGCGGCACATAGCAAAGTATTCATCTTTTCCCTGTTTGATCCACTTTTTAAATTGCTCCTCTTCGGTCCAGCTATTCTTAAATACTTGATTATATTTAATTTTTTTTCTTTGAGGGACCAGCCCCTTCATTTTCAGAGTTATGGTACTCACTTGAACTAAAAACATAATACATTACATCTTTAGAATTCAATATTAACTAATAAAAGTGAACTTACCTCATTTTTGTACGTTCGCTTATACGAAAGGATAAAAAACTAAGTATTCAACAAAACCACTGGATACGAGATCAAACCGAATTGTGAAGGTGAAAACAAAGAAAAAACCAAAACCCTCGCGTTGTCGCGCAACGCTGGGAAATCCCGGTCCCCGTAGTCGTTGACGCATTAATAACCGGTGATTCCCCGTGGCCGTGGTCTGGTCCAGTGATGTAGGAATACGGTCCGTGTTATCAGGTCGCATAAAACCACTGCTGTTATGGATGATGCCATGATTCGTATTATTATTACGGATGATTCATCCATGGAAGATTCATCTGAATATTCTATTCATCCGTTTCTGTCTAACCGGTTAGCAAAATATTCCGAATATTTACATCAGTAGTCTGGGCTCTAAAGTATTACCAACATAATATCAAATGCTAAGACGCTTTCGAATTTATTTAGGGTCATCATTGATGACCGTATTTAAACTGATTCTTCGACAATATTACGCAAGGTGTAGGTTATAAATTAAAAATTAACAATAATAATAACATTAATTAGGCATCATAATTTTATCAGTAGATTACAAAAATATTTCAGTAGATCAGTAGATCAATATACAAATCAGTAGATCTACTGAAAATTCAGTAGAACTGACAACACTGGTTCGCGATAGTAGAGATGGGCTAATACGACACTTTTGACTTAAAATGTTTGGGTTTTGAAACATTACAGGGATATCTATTTGTTCAGAGCAAATTGTTCAACTTATTACGCAGTTATTAAAACACAAAATGCAATATAATGAGTTTTCTTATAGAAACTGTAAAAATATAATTTGCACTGTTGTATATATTGGAACAAGCCTTGATGTCACTTATTGACATATCACTGAGTCTGACATAGACAGCAAAATAACTGAATATAACTATTGATATATGCAGGGTGTAAGCGTCATGGTAATCATTATTGAAATGGGTGATAGGGGGGCCAAAACAAGTCAAAAAGTTCATATGACCCATGGTTCGAAAGTCAATAGATTTTTGTCTAAATGGCTTTATACTTTACAACTTTAGTGTCTTATATCGACCACAATCTTACTAATCTAATCGAAAACGTTTTTAAATTGGGTAATTAACAAACAAATGGCATTAAGTTTTTCTAAGTTAAGCCAAAATTTGTAGTCAGTAAGAAAGTTTCATTAAATTGGATATTTAAAACACACTTGACAACAGCGCGTCGGTCATCATCACTCGTATTGAACCGGCAAAGTCGCTTTTCTCTAAAAAAATGCCGTTTTGACCCCCATGTTAAATGAAACTTCCTTTAACCCCCTCTATCACCCATTTAAATAATGACTATCATAACGTTTACACTCTGTATATATATATATATATATATGTCCTATTTCGCGAGTAACCATCATGGTAGAATGACAGGTGATTATCTAGTAATATCTTAAAATTCCCCATATCACCACAGGACACAATTCTGACGAATCCGTCAACGCCAGGTAGACATAGCCGAATTTTATTTTGGTTTTTTAATGCTACGGATTCATTTTGTACTTGTTAACAGCTCTTTTATTCAGATCCATTGTTGCCAACGTTCCAGACTAACACAAAAATATCAGTTGCTGATCAGAGTAGACGTCAAAGTGTGATGGATACTCATGAAATAGGGTATAAACGCAAACAAGTATTGATATGGCTTTATACTCGTAGCTAACATGTTCCAAGTAGGATGATGACTTGGCTATTTCAAAATGTTAACAGTAAACCGTAATCCGATAGTAGCTCATGTAATACTTGTAGTTTTATTTACGTCAAACAAATAAAACGCTTGATTTTTTATAAGTTTTTATTATTGTTTTGTTGTGTCCCATCAATTTGTTCCGAAATGCCACAATACCTCCTAAATGTATCTGTAAACAGGATACAGAACTGCGTATGGATACCGTACTCCGCTACCGCTAGTAAACTGTGAAACTGGCACATCTTTGGAAGGCACTATTCGGTATGCTTCAAATCCGGAAGTTTTCAAATTGCTGTCCTGATATTGAGCACCGTACCTGCCCGAAATATCCTGCACTTGATTTTTATCTACGAAGAATCTCTTCATATCGTTTTCTTGACTAGGGATACCTACAAGAGTTTCAAAATAAGAATTGGTTTTTTCAAAGGCCAATGATTGGAATCTTCGTCATTCGTGGTTTAATCATGTTTCTACATACCTCCGAATTTACTAACAATGTCCTGGACTTGACTCGGTATTCCTCCAAATCTGTTAATAATACCCTGTAGTTGATTTTTGTCTACGAAGATGCCCCTAACATCATTGTCTTGATTCGGAACGGGTCCAAATCTGCTGAACACATTCTGTACTTGGCTTTTGTCTACGACGTATCTCCTCACGTCATTTTCTTGAGTGGGAATACCTAAAAATTGCAAATAGTTGAATTTATTAATCGATGAAAACGAAGTAGAAAAATAAATTGTTTGTTTTAGTCTCTAGACATAATATATGCTAAAATTTAAACCCAATATCCGTTTAAAAAATTTAAGGGTAGGTATTTAAACAAAAATCCAGAAAGTTAAAATCAAAAAAACGTAAGCATTCTGAAATTGTTTGCCATTATCAGATCGATTTTCAAAAGCTACACAGGCGTTTCGTCCCCGGCATGGTAGTAATCTTATGTCCAAATTTGATCAAAATACGAATAGTTTTTTCAGAATTACAGAGGAGACAAGGATTATCGGACAGACGTACCGACCAGAATGAGCGATACGGCGTGTCGTGGTCATATCGTACAATTGCCCATTTCAAGAAATGATCGAGCATTCCATGATATGGTCGCATTTTATGAAATGGCCAACTAAATTTGACCACATGATTAAATCATCAACGTTTAACGATTTGGGCATCCACGAATGACCATATCCTTAAAGTATTCAATGAAAAGGTTAATCGAATATACCTTTTTGTCGTTAAGTCTTTCAATTTCACTTTCTTCAAAAACAACTTTGTTATAAGCGTCCGCTATGTTGCACGGGAACAAAGCGCTCCCTCTATCGGTAATTGGAGTAATTATTTTACGATTTGATCAAACAAGTTCACAAATTCATGAAGCAACTGCGCATTCAGTTGATCATATCGATAAACGATTTATTTGTTAAAGTGATCTCGTTGATCTGGCCCATAGATCACGATAAACCATTTGGTCATCCACGATTGACCATATCGTAAAATTTGGTGTCCATATAATATTTAATAATAACACTGATCAACAGCCAAAAAATATCCTAAATAAAATCAACAAAATATTACTATTTTTAATGTGCTAAAACCGGAATGAAACTTATTTTTTTAATATTAGTTCAAGTTTTAGAGATACGGTAATTATATGTGTTCCTGCTGTGACAGTGTTAATATACTGTAATTCACAAGAATGCACGTGCTATTTTATTATATTCGGTAAGGAAAGATGATGTAATCGGCATGATTGTGTTACGTTATACATACGTGTACATTATATTGTTTTATATTAGCCATTTTTTCATGAGTTTTCTGACAGCGTTCATGCAAGATGTCTCGAAAGTGTGTAAACAATCCAGATCAGTTTTGTTACGTGTGTGGTGATGTGACTTTTGCGTCTCAGAGACGGTCTATTACTCCACTAATAACAAAGGCATATCAGCTTTATTTCGGTTGTAAACTAGGTGATCAAGACAAACAGTGGGCACCCCACATCTGCTGTAATACATGTGCTTCAAGTCTGAGGAGCAGGTTAAATGGCAAAAAACGGTCTATGCGCTTTGCTGTCCCAATGGTTTGGAGAGAGCCTACAAATCATAATAATGATTGTTACTTTTGCATGGTACCTTGTGTTGGACAAGCCACAGGTATGTCCAAGAAAAAAAATCGGTTATTAACTACCCAAACATACCATCTGCGATGAGACCTGTGCCTCACAGTGACGAAAATCCTATTCCAAAACCCCCAGAATCCTACACTTGTGAATCAGAAAACGAATCATATCATGGCGATCGAGTGATTCGTCAGGAAGAAGATATGCCATCAACGTCAAGAGATCCTGATTTTATACCGAGCACGTCATGCCACCAACCGCACAAAATAACACAGTCAGAATCAAATGATCTTGTAAGAGATTTAGAACTTCCAAAATGTAAGGCAGAGTTACTTGGATCAAGACTGCAGCAGTGGAACTTGTTAGAAGACGATGTTTCGGTATGTGTTTTTCGTAAACTCCACAAAGACTTAGAACCATTTTTCAATATGGAGAATAACTTGGTTTTCTGCAGTAACATTAACGGCTTACTGGCGGCTTTAAATATAAACTATAACCCAGAAGAATGGAGATTGTTTATAGACAGTTCAACATTGAGTTTAAAGGCAGTGTTATTGCATATTGGAAATATTTTACCATCTCTTCCTGTAGGGTATGCAGTTCACATGAAAGAATCATATGACAATATGAAGTACCTATTGACATGCATAAAATACGATGAGCACCAATGGCATATTTGAGGCGATTTGAAAGTTGTTGCACTTTTACTTGGGCTGCAGCTAGGCTACACAAAGTGTTGCTGTTTTTTGTGTGAATGGGACAGTCGGGCAAAGGCACTTCATTACACCAGACAAAACTGGCCTGTTCGTCGATTCCAAGAGCCAGGTCAAAAAAATGTACAGCATATGCCATTAGTAGATTCGAAAAAAAATTTATTACCACCACTGCATATCAAGATGGGCCTAATGAAAAACTTTGTCAAGGCATTAGATAGAGATGGGTCAGCTTTTCAATACCTGCGTTAGAAATTTCCAAAACTAAGTGAGGCAAAGGTTAAAGAAGGTATTTTTGTTGGGCCACAGATTCAAAATATTTTGAAAGATACACAGTTTGAAAACACTTTAACAGGTATTGAAAAAACTGCTTGGAATGATTTCCGTCTGGTGGTCACTAATTTCTTGGGAAATAGAAAAGCTGACAACTATAAAACCCTTGTCAAAAATATGCTGTCATCGTATCAAAAGATGGGCTGTAATATGTCTCTTAAGATACATTTCCTACACTCACGCCTGGACTTTTTTCCTGACAATTGCGGAGCGGTAAGTGAAGAGCACGGCGAACGTTTTCATCAGGATATTTCAACAATGGAAAAAAGGTACATGGGAAAGTGGAATCCTTCCATGCTTGCAGACTACTGTTGGACTCTTGGTAGAGATGCTCCAGAAACGATCCATAAAAGAACAGCAAAAAGACAGCGCATATAGTGATTCTTATAAGTATATGAATCATGTTACTTTTTTTAATATATCCTAAAAAATAAAAAGTTTTTTTGCTAAACCGCAACTAATTTTTTTATTTCATTGTCATTTTTTGATTCAGCGCCCCAAAATTAAAAAAGAAGTGCACTTTTCCCACAAGATACAATTAAAAAACTAAAATTTGTTGTCCAGTGTAATCAATTAGTTACCCTTTCTCCATCTCCGATGGGGCTCCAAGATAAACATACCTATTAATAACTGTCCTCAATATCGAAATTTTTGGAACGAAAAGAATGGCTTTTTGTAAAAAAATTGTATTCTAAAATATGTCAGTGACGTCACAAAATACATTGGATTTACCTGGGAATCTACTGACAATCCCTTGCTCTTGGTTCTTATCAACAAAGAATCCTTTCACACCACCCTCTTGACTTGGCACCCCTGCAAACCGACTGACAATCCCTTGCACCGAGTTCCTATCTACAATGAACCCTTTGACATGTCCTTGGTCTTGTTGGTAAACTGGGAAGAAGCCATTCACACCGAACTGAGCTTGAGCGTCACCTTGGAAAGCCCTGAATTCATTTGGAGCTGGAACACTGCCTTGAAAAGACCTCACTTCAACGCGGTTCGGTTCATGCTGGGGAATTGCCGGGTTCACTTCTTGGTCATTTTGGACTGCTCCTGAAAATATGACAAAAATATCAAAAAAATATTAACTAGTCATGCTGCTTTCGTCCGTTAGACTACAAACAACCAACCATGGCCTAGGCTTAGTTTTTTGACAACGAACAAAACCATAGGAAATGATCATCTATCCAAGGTGTCAGGTCTATCAAAATAAGGCAGCCCAAAGCACCATCTATTACCAGAATGCAGAATGTATGTGTTTGATAGACCAATAACCACGGTGACCGCTAGAAGCTGAAGATTCTGGCAGTCGTCAGTCAGCCAGGCGCTTTCTCAATATTTTAGGACACCTCCTTTATATACACCACTGAGCCAAACTGAATCTTATACTTGAAAACTGCTTCTTACGTTTTTTCATCCAAAGGCACATTTTTTTACTTCTTATGCCCAAACTGGCGAGATAGTAGATATGTATTGTACTCGTGAAAAATTTCGAAATTGGGATATTATGTTGTTTGGATTTTATAATGACAAAATGTTACCCCAAATCTGCAAGGGAAACAAAGGTGAAAGGTGATAGATTTGCTTTATGTGGTTTGATATGCAGAGGTCGAAGATTCATCGTACTTGAGTGAACCTACCTAATCAAGATTAGATGTCGCCGTTAGAAACGATTTGACTCATCCCTTCTCTTTGAAACCTCTAACGAAGGCGAGGAAGTATATAATCAATCTACATGTCATTTTTTCAAGTAAATTTTAACTAACCGGTAACCTGTAGGTACATCAATTTATGTGTTGTTATTAAGAAAATAGTACCATTGCTCGAGCTGGAACCCTTTTTTTTTTTTGACGAAACAAACAAGGAGCTACATTTCAAGCAAAATCAATATATTTGGCTTCGAGAAACCGACACTCAGTTTTGTAAAAAACAGACGCATACAATTTTTCACTAAATATAAAAATGGACAAGTTTAAACACCCCGTATAACCGATGTGGAGAATTCTGAGGACACTGTTTGTTTTACGTCTTTTGACAATATTCTGTAACACCATGTATATGTGAAATGCTTTCTTATGCGAGTGCGAGATAGGTATAGTTGTAGTACAACTATAAAACAAATCACAACTAAGGTTTCTCGTCTACACGCTTATTGAAATCTCCAGTGTGTTAACTGATATACTAAGTGACATATAAATCCTAACACCCAGTTTAAATGGTTTTATTTTAATAAAAGTTGGTGAATGTATTTATCTTACTGTAAATAACAAGTGAAAAATTTTCAGCCTTATCAGTTGGACATTCCGGTTTTTATACTGCTTTTTTTTAACTCACTAACGCTCTAAAAATGAATATTTCAGCCGCAGTAAAGAATCAACGTTGGCGGATTTTGGTTCTTGACATCCTTTACGATCGGTTACGATGCCTAGAGTACGGAGACCTGTACGATTTCGTCAACTTAGTGAGTTTGATAGGGGCCGTATAGTAGGACTTCGGGAAGCTGGACTTTCTTTTCGGGCAACTGCAGTTAGAGTGCAAAGAAGTGTAGACACTGTGGTTAGGTGTTGTCAGGCATGGCTTCGAGAAGGTCGTACGCAAAGAGCAAGGGGCACTGGACGCCGCCGTAGAACAACAGACCGTGAAGATGGCCGCCTAAGATTATTGGCCTTAAGGGACCGTTTCTCCACTACCAGGTCCATTGCAAATGAATGGTTTGCAGAACACGGAAGACCTATTGGCATGCGAAGTGTTTACCGACGAATGAGAAGTTTTGGCTTGTTTTCATACCGGCCACACTGGGTCCTCCCTTTAACTCGAGAACACCGACGTAATCGCCTTGAGTGGTGCAGACAACGGTCACTCTGGGATCAGGAATGGAACAGTATTGTCTTTAGTGACGAGTCTCGATTTTGTTTAGGCATGCACGATGGTCGTGCCAGGGTTAGAAGGCGACGTGGTGAAAGGAGGAATCCACAGTTTTCTGTTGAAAGACATGTTCATCACACTGTTGGAGTTATGGTTTGGGGTGCTATAGCTTATGGTTCCAGGTCACCTTAAATCTTCATCAGAGGTAACATGAACGCGCAGCGTTATATCCACGAAGTTCTAGAACCCCATCTTTTACCCTATCTTGACACCCTGGCAGATCCAACTTTCCAACAAGATAATGCCCGACCACATGTTGCAAGAGTCACAATAGACTTCTTTCAACATTATGATGTCACATTGTTACCATGGCCACCAAGATCTCCCGACTTATCCCCAATTGAGCACGTGTGGGATATGATGGGTAGGAGATTGCTCAATTTGCAACGTCCTCCTCAGACTCTAGAAGCACTTCGAGAGGAGTTGGTGGTTGCCTGGAATGAGATACCACAGGAGGACATTGACCACCTGATCAGAAGCATGCCTAGGCGCGTTGGAGAATGCGTAGCACATCAGGGTGCATCCACACATTATTAAAGGTCAAAGGGCTTTAAGGCAGTGCAATCATTTTGAAATTTTTATCATTTACTTATTATGCTTCATTAAGTACTTATACAAAGTTTTATTAAAATAAAACCATTTAAACTGGGTGTTCGGATTTATGTCACTTAGTATAGGAATACTGTTTATAGTCCTTTTTCCAGACTGGCTCGGAAGGTCGGTTACGTTTTCCGCCTGTGGGTATGTATATTGTCGCTTAAGTTCTTATAGCCGCTTTACACAATCAAAGAAATTTACGAATAAATTGTAATACCCGTTTTACATGTACAATTTCTTCACGAATTTATTTGGACGGATTTTTTCAAGGTCATCCTGATTATGTTGTGGGGTGTTCACATCAATGGACAAATTCATGGGCTTTCTGTCTGTCCACAGTGCTGCCAACCGCACAACAAATTCTTGCTAGAAACAATTTGAGCGTTTATATATGTATTGTGGTTTTGATTTCATAAACAGAAAATACTGAAGTTCTAGCAAAGTTTTATACTTGAATTGAACAGTTGTTCAATAAAATAAAATAACAATATAATGGAAGGGAAAACAAGGTTGGCATCATGGAGTTTGACGAAGAACGGATTTATTTGACGTCAAATTCCTGTTTTACAATTTTGAAATTCTGCTGTGAACTCAATCTGTGTAAAACGGGTAAAAGAAAAATTGATGAATTTCTTCAAGGTAACAGGTAGGGAAATTACATGATCAAATTTATTCAAGTCAGGCACACCAACACATGGGTAGCTCAGGGGTAAAGATATCAAAACATAACTTAAGTATAATGAACATAATCAATAAAAAGGATAGTATACTTATATATTAATTGTTTCTGTTTAAATATTAAATCCAAAATTAAAACCAAAGCGCCAAGTCAAACTCTAAGGATTATAATTTTAATCTCAAATCACAAAACGTGAACGCGTCAAATAACGAAGGTTGGTAGGTATCTAGGAAATAGAACCAAAAGTAACTAGAATTCTCCAAAAAAGTAAACCGTATTTTAAGGATATGTGGTTCTTTTTAGATGCCAGATAAACATGGAATAAGATACTTATTCATGGCATTCGATAGGAGATCGAGATTGTCAGTTTTAGATTACGCAGTGTTAGAACTTAAACGATCAATATGTACGTATATTTATTATAGACGAAACAACTAATGCATCGTTCTATCTAGTTACTGTGCAGCCGGGTTTCTGTATATTTAAAAATGTACCTTCTTACTTGTCCATTAATCGAATATGAGGTGTAAAAATATGTTCAATACAATCGTCAATTCACACTGACCTGACGCTGAGAAAACTGGAACCACTTGACTGACCCCAACTGGACCCTCGACATGGTCCTGTTGAACCACATGAGCTGGCAAAGCCACAATTGCAGGGTTACCAACTGGAACACCTCTAACTTGAGCTAACGATGGATCTACAGGAAATCCAGTCCTGAGTTGTCCTTGAACATGCCCTTGGGAAGGATCTACAGAATGCACTGACTTAATTTGACCTTGAGAGGGGTCAGCCGAATGCTCAACTTTGAATTGTACTTGGGGAGAATTTGCAGGAAGTCCAATCTTGAATTGACCTTGTATGTGACCTTGAGAAGGGTCCACCGGATGTCCAGTTCTGAATTGACCTTGGGCGTGAGGATCAAGGGCATGACCTTGAATACTTAGACCGATATGCCCTTGGTCATGATGTTGTTGCTGATGTTCTTGAGGCAGGAGGGCTACGGCAGAAAAGAGAATGATTAGCTTGAAAGGTTGCACAGGGTGTCCTCTTGATACACGTCTATTCAACTAACTATTTATAATGATGAATAAAGACCATTTATTATTATTAATAACAAACTAACCTACTTAAAAAAAACATGAACCGATAGATTTCAGCATGCATACTACACTATACTATACAGGGTGTCCAAAAATAGTCCCCCAGGTGCGTAATCAACACTAAAATAAATCCGATTATCCTCAAAATAAAATAGGATATACATTTTCAGGTCACTCAATCGAGTTTTGGAATTTTGTCGAACTTGTTGGAAGTCGGTTGCAGTGGAAATTGATAGAAATAGTATTGAAACAAGGCTGTACCAAAAAACTGCTCATTTTGTCGAAGTAAAAAAAGAATGCGTATTTTTCAGCTGAAGGTTGAGGTACCCAAAATTATAGTAAGTTGACGAGTCAACCCATGAATCCTTGTTTTAGAATTAATAAGGTCAAAATTGCTGGTGTCTTACATATGTATGTGCTAAGAAGAATTGAAGGAAACAAAAAATATCCTAAAGAGGACACCCTGGAGACATCCCATGAAGCGTCTACAGACCAATGAGGTTATCTATCGCACTTCGTCCATGCCCATGATGATGATCTTGATCATGGTGATCAGGTTGATGATGATCATTATGATCATGATTAATATGTCCCTGAATCCATCCTGCGAGGTAGTAAAGAATCAGCAGATCCAAAATCATCGCCATCCAATGTTTTTTACCTGCTGTTTGTCCAATAGCGTGTTCTGCCTGATGATGATGCTCCAAATGGTTTTGTACTTGATGGGCAGCATCTCCAGCAGGATGTCCAGACTTGGCCACCACGTGGACCGAGGACTGCTCTACAAGGTTCCCTGGGTCAGCTCCTACTCCATGGGTTTCTTGGATTGTATATGAGTAGTCTTTACCGGAGTTCTTGACGCTCACTGACGATGAGGAGTGGTCAATAGGGACTACTGAGCAGTCAGAGATCGCTAGGAGGGATAGCACGATACATCCTGCAATCTATAGAAGAATAAAATAGTCAAGTAGATTGACTAAAAATATATTTTAATGTAAGCTTTTTTGTAAGTGTGACCGACTCAAAAAATTGAATTAGATACAATGGGTTGGCTTAGTACTTGCCACGAAGTCATACAGATTTATTTGAAATTTTATGTCATCCCAACTAGCAAAGTAGTGCTATAAGCTTTTGGTAAAAGAACCATTCAGCCATAAAAACTCTCTAAACCCGAGCCTTGTTGTTTTGCTGTGCATATTACTACTTTAGCCAACAAGTTGCTCCCAACGGAAGCACTTATACAACTGTTGTTTAGTAACTGTTAAAGGCTGTACATATGCTAAATATGTTGGTATACAACTTCACCATAACCTAACTTTCTGCTGTCATATTTTTGTTAAAATGCCATAACCAATGATTTAAGACAAACAACGCATGCGTATTGGTTCAAAAGGTTTTATCAACTGTTCAAACAGAAGATATAGATCTGGTACAAATTCTGGGTAAATCATTGGACTTTGTCGATATTTCATTTCAGACATTTGTCAAATTGTTGTATAACACCTGCAGGCAACACCAAAATATTCTAATAAACTGAAGACAACATGGACGATGCCATGATTATACACAACCACCAGCCATATTGGGCAAACATTTATTCCTCTATTTAATATTAAATAATTATGTTTCAGTTCGAAATTACAGATATAAAGTGATAAACATTAGTGTAATTGTGTCTAAATATAGGATTTGTGGAAGATTTGACGCAGATAAGTTCAGTTTTCCATCTTAAAAATCTAGACATACTTATGATCATTATCAAAATATGCATGGAATAAGAAGCCCGTAGAAATTGCGTAACTACTTTGCACGATAATCACAATAAAATTTGCTGCGCAAGTAATTCAATAGCCCTATATCACAGTGTAGAAGTTTATCATATACCTGTGTATGAAATTCACAATGGCCGATATGTAAGTAAACAAGATGACTGATGTATTAGTTATATATTCTTCACTTCGTCTATGCAATACATAAGAAATAGTTTGGTTGCAATAAAATAGAATCACGTAACAAAATAGTTGTATAGTTGACAAAAACTGAATCCTGCACTGACGCAAATGTCCTATAGCGGCTGCAAGGGGCTTACACTTTTGTTGTATAAATGTTACCTGCAGCCCTTATACAACCTGTTAAATGACTGAAGCCCATTCCGCTTGTATAGCTGTTCTAAGAGGGTTTTGCCAATGTTCTTACAGTATACAATGCTGTGTAAGGAATACTGTATAATCATTTTGCAACTCTAATAGGAGTGATAATTGTTAGTTGGACAGTGATATGTGAGGTATGAAAAATTTCAAATTTTCCAACCTCATAGGAAGTTTTTACTAGGTGTCAAAGTATGAGATTTTTTAAGACACTGACAACCTCCTTAAGTAGCTAGAAAGCTAGAAAAATGGGAAAACACAATTTGAAATCTTTAAGATCGTGACTTCTTCAAATAAAATGTTTGTATACGCCCGAAAAATTATCAGAAACTCAAAAAAATGTCAAGAAACAAAATTTTGAAAGTTTTAAATACTTCTGTCACTACTAGACCGATTGTCAAAATCTACAAAGATGTTTCTCTTTTGACATACATGCAATATGAAATTTCAGATATATGAAACTTCCTACACAAACAAAATATGCATCGATATTCTTTCGTTTTTTTTTCAAGCTGAAAACTATAATTGAAGATTTAGATGTATTAATTTTTAGGTTAGCACGAGAGGTCTACTAGCCTTGTTGAATCTTCGTTGATCAATGTCGCTATCATTTTAAACTATTTATGTTAAAAGCTAACATAAGCTTCATCAAGGGTCCAATATGGAACCTTGAGGCACACCATACTTTATAACAGTTGATTTTGACATTTTCGAAGCTGATAGGACCTTTTGATTTCCATTTGACAAATAACAGCGTATCAAATTAACTGCAGCGTCGGTAAAACCATAGTAAGTCAGCAGAAGTAGCAAAATTTCATGGCGAAAACTTTTGTGTAATCTAACAAAACAAAAACAAGTTACATTTCTTTGATCAAGGAATCTTATAACATCATCCGTGATATTGGCTAGAGCCGTTGTTGTGCTATGGTTTCCTTTGAATCCTGACTACACTGATCGAATTATCTCATTCCAAGAGTTTTGAAAAGTAGCCAGAGAGCTAGAAAACATGCAAAAACAAAATTTGAGAGTTTTTAGAATGCTAAAGAAGTTGAGTACGCCCAAAAATTATCAAAGACTCGAAAAGATTCAAAAATTGAAGTTTTGAGAATTTTTAAGCTTTCTAAGACGATTTTCAAAACCTAAAACGTACTTGGAATAGCAGAAATGTTAATCATATATGTGAATAATATGATAAAGTTCAATTTTTTTCGACTTCCTAGAAGATTTTTTTCCACGCCCCAAAGTCGACAGAAAGAAGAAAAATGATTAAAAACAATGTTTGAGATATTTAAGGCTACTTAAAAAATGTTTTACCATGTCTAAAGGTTATCATAATAGTCTACACACTACAAACCGGAGTTAATGATTACAAATGTTCTTCCAATCATACGTGGTTTAATTAACCTCTCAAAAAGTAACGTAAGCAATGAAGGAACGCCTATAAAAAATTCCAAGAAGCACCATCTCGCCATTTTTGAACAGCAAATGTGAAAAAATGTGGCTGATCTATTACTACTACATACATGCAACATAGACAACTGAATTAAACTATATTCATTTATTCAAAGAACCTGTCTTCATGTCGCATCCTTTGAAAGATATAATCACGAACATGCTCATATATCAAATTACTCATCTTTTCTTCTATTTTTAAACAGCGAACTAACATATATCCGATAATTTTCTTATCAAGTTTGACTTTGATAATTGAGAAAAACGTTCAACTTACCAGAGCCATGTTGATTCCTTAGAGAACTCTAACGTTTTTCCCGACAATTTTGCTATGACACTACCCATAACAAGTATTGTAGAGTAGGCTTTTATAGAAGCTAAAATAAGAGCAAAAACAAGAGCTGGCCAACAGAATGATTATGGTAAGTGCATCTGCTCTGAGACTGGCATTTTTCCTCGATGTAGCAGCCAATAAGCCGAGCTGCAGCAGAAAAAGGAAAAAGGATAATGTACTTGATGCCGGATGGTGGACTTTGCGCCAGTGGTCGCCATAAGCAACCCTTTCTCGGCAACATGTACCACAACATTTGCAATGCTGACATTGCACTTTGCAATATGTGCCAGATACTTTTGTAAGGACAAAACGCGCAGATATTGAAGCAAATGTGACGGGTGAGTGTTGCACAGCTCACGCAAAACGATCCAACAGTCTGCAACATGTTGCCTGGACAGGTGTGTTTCCATTTAAGCAAACCTGTTATAATAAGCTGTATGTATCGAACAAAAATGTGTTTGAAATTATAGTTTCGGAGTCACAATTTTATATAGTATCGTATATATACAGGGTGACTTCGAAGTTGAGTCATTTATTTTAACAGTGAGTAGATCTGATCAAAAGAAATGTTTTTTTCCTTTACCATTTTTCTGGTAAAATTAAAGTAACAAAGTTATAGCCCTTTGGAAGTTTGAGTACCGCCCTGTCTCAATAATAATATCATGTGCTCGTGTTTGGCAACAACGGATATAATCCGCCTTATCGGTTCATCGCATCGGAAACAAAAAAGCGAAAGAATTTGGAACGATGTTTTTACAATTATTTTATTCAGTTGTATACATACAGTCAGTGTCAGTCGGTAACGCGTGTGAATAGTGGTGTCTGTTGCGTGGCTCGAACGAAATAAAAAATGGCACATGTTTATGCGGATCGGTTTCCCAATCGAGTGCAACCAACCCCTCGTGCCTTTGTTAATGTAGTACAACGGGCTCGTGAATCAGGTGACTTAAGACCTCACAGGGGACCTCACGATCAAATACAGGTCCGCACTGAAATACTTGTCGGGAGGATAGTTTATAAAACAAGGTAAACATTTTTTTTTAATTTCTTTTTTATTTTTACACACATATTTTGGTTTATCTTCCTTCTACAATCATTATCTGAAAATTAATGACTCAACTTCAAAGTCACCCTGTATATACAGGGTGTAAAGTTAGTAGTGGATCAACGGAAGTCAAGTGATAGAGGGCCCCACATCATATCGAATGGACCCTATATGTGTGGTCCGAAATTTTATAGTTCTGGAGCTATTTACAAGTTTGTGAATAAAAATAAAAAAAATACGGGATAATGAACTTTCAATCGCAATTACAACTAAACCATTAGGTTTAGGGCTGTGATCTTTTTTTGAGATGAGCTAAATGGTTAGTTTTAGCAATGGTTATGTCACTTTTGAACAGAGCTAATTAGAAGTCAACGCAAAAATCTTACATTCATTTGTGAAAAAAAATCACAGACCTAAACCTAATGGTTTAGTTGTAATTGCGATTGAAAGTTCATTATCCCGTTTTTCCGAAATTTCACAAAATTGCTTATAGGGGTTCATTCGATAGGTTTTGAGGTCCTCTATCACCTATCTTCCATTGATCTACTACCAACTTTACACCCTGTGTATACAGGGTGTCCCGAAAAAAGTATGCAATGTTCTACCAGCGGTTTCTAGAGCTTAAAATAGGAAGAAAATTTCCTTAATATTTCAGAAACGTGTTGAGATAAAGACATAAAATTTGGTATTCCAGCCTAGTTTTTTATGCTGGATTTAAAAATATTAACAATTTTAGACAGTTTTGTTTGGAAGCGTATGTAACACGGACGGACTCAGGTTATTTGAGCCCCAAAATTTTTAAGTGATTCTATTCGTGAAATTGAATTTTATAAATTGAAAATTTAGGGTTTTCTACATAAAAAAGGTATTCTTATTGAATATCGATAAATTGTGCCATTTTTGAATAAAATCAAACTAAAAAATTTGTCACATGATAGGAAATGTACTGCGAATTTAAATGAATTGTTAAATAATTAGCCATGGCAAGGAAAAAACTAATATAATAATTGGTAAATATTACATTAAAAGACCGTAGCGCCCTTAGGGGACGTTTGTCGTCCATATAAACTTTTCTTCCTATTTTAAGCTCTAGAAATCGCTGGTAGAATATTGCACACTTTTTTCGGGACAGAGACAATGAGAATGTTGAGTACCATTGGGATTTGAACCTATAACATATATGTTTATCTATGTTTAGACAGAAATAATTTGCGAATGAAGAAGTCATCTGTCCACATTTTCATGAACAATGTATACTCGGTTCTGGTGTGCTGGAACTATAGAGTATCTATAAGATGGACACGACTTTGTGGTGGACACTGGTGGAAAGAGCTCGATATAAAACTGGTTGGGAGTATTTTTAGCTGCAAGTCGCTTAACCAGATCTGATGGTACATATAAAGATTCACCTAAGGACGGAAATTTTATTGCAATGAGGATATCAAACTTATACAGGGACATCGCCAACTCTTGTATTATTTTTATTAAATACTGATTATTTATTTATACTAAAGTTCTAATAAGAAACACATTTTGGTGACAGTATTGACTATCTTATGTATGTGAAAACAAAGTAAAGATTTGACATTGACTAAAAGCATTGAGAGATTTTTCTCATTATTTGATAGGCTCGACTACTTTTTCTATATACTGAAGCATCCGCATAGACAAAAGTCTAAATACCGGGAAACGCGGCTACTATAAGTAGACTTTGTTAGTCCAACTTTTAATTGTCTAAGGTAAGTAGAAGTGGAAAAAGCATACTTAGGCAGATTGATCCACAATCGCGACACCCTAGGGACAAAAGAGCGGTCGTACCGGCCAGTTCTAGATGTACGATTATATAGTCTGAAATGAACCTACCTGCGTAGGCGCAGGAGGTATAGAGTCATTTTACTTGATGCCATTTTCGCAGCTCCTATGGTTTTTAACCTCCTTTTCTATAGATGTATAGTAGGTACATCAACCTCTTAGCTAACGGAAAAATGAAGGATATAACATACTAAATAAAAAAGAAAACAGACGTGTCTCATGTGCGGCAGTCGTAGGTAATACAGTAACCTCAATTTTTATGCAAAATATCATCGACGGTATGTCGCAAAAGGTATTATGGGTAACACTTTCAATATTACGATTAAAATCATGCTATGAATATGTATAGGAAGTGAACAACGTTGTTTACAAAATTCCTTCAGCCATTGTTTCAACAACATTTTACTTTATTTATTTTATGATACGACGATGACTGATATGAATAGTGTGCGAAACATAATCAAATAGTTGGGTTGTTTAATGTTTTTTATTCTTTTTAAATGTGTCTATCTGTCTATAGTTGTTGGGTAAATCTGACTCACGACTCACTTTTCTTGACTTTTGACAAGTTCCGATACTTTTTAAGTCTAATGAAAACAAATTGTTATTATTATTATAAAGGTAAGATTAGAATTTCAATGTGACGTTTCGCTTCTCGTCCTCCATCGCCAACTCTATTTTTTCTTATAGACGCCATATTAGATTTTTGAGCAGATGAATAGAGTTCTTAATTCCGATTTCAAAAATGTATAATATGTTATACATTGACTTTACAAACGTTAGTTATTCCAGAAAACAATAGAAGTTCCTGGGTAGGCCTTGCAACTATCATATAGTCATTTGTTTCGTATACCAGACCAACCGCAAATTAAACATATACTAAGTGACATATAAATCCGAACACCCAGTTTAAATGGTTTTATTTTAATAAAATTTTGTATAAGTACTTAATGAAGCATAATAAGTAAATGATAAAAATTTCAAAATGATTGCACTGCTTTAAAGCCCTTTGACCTTTAATAATGTGTGGATGCACCCTGATGTGCTACGAATTCTCCAACGCGCCTAGGCATGCTTCTGATCAGGTGGTCAATGTCCTCCTGTGGTATCTCATTCCAGGCAACCACCAACTCCTCTCGAAGTGCTTCTAGAGTCTGAGGAGGACGTTGCAAATTGAGTAATCTCCTACCCATCATATCCCACACGTGCTCAATTGGGGATAAGTCGGGAGATCTTGGTGGCCATGGTAACAATGTGACATCATTATGTTGAAAGAAGTCTATTGTGACTCTTGCAACATGTGGTCGGGCATTATCTTGTTGGAAAGTTGGATCTGCCAGGGTGTCAAGATAGGGTAAAAGATGGGGTTCTAGAACTTCGTGGATATAACGCTGCGCGTTCATGTTACCTCTGATGAAGATTAAAGGTGACCTGGAACCATAAGCTATAGCACCCCAAACCATAACTCCAACAGTGTGATGAACATGTCTTTCAACAAAAAACTGTGGATTCCTCCTTTCACCACGTCGCCTTCTAACCCTGGCACGACCATCGTGCATGCCTAAACCAAATTGAGACTCGTCACTAAAGACAATACTGTTCCATTCCTGATCCCAGAGTGACCGTTGTCTGCACCACTCAAGGCGATTACGTCGGTGTTCTCGAGTTAAAGGGAGGACCCAGTATGGCCGGTATGAAAACAAGCCAAAACTTCTCATTCGACGGTAAACACTTCGCATGCCAATAGGTCTTCCGTGTTCTGCAAGCCATTCATTTGCAATGGACCTGGTAGTGGAGAAACGGTCCCTTAAGGCCAATAATCTTAGGCGGCGATCTTCACGGTCTGTTGTTCTACGGCGGCGTCCAGTGTCCCTTGCTCTTTGCGTACGGCCTTCTCGAAGCCATGCCTGACAACACCTAACCACAGTGTCTACACTTCTTTGAACTCTAACTGCAATTGCCCGAAAAGAAAGTCCAGCTTCCCGAAGTCCCACAATACGGCCCCTATCAAACTCACTAAGTTGACGAAATCGTACAGGTCTCCGTACTCTAGGCATCGACTTCTTCGAAGAGTCTTTTGTTTCTAAGTACCCATCCACCAAGTATAAGGTTAAAGACAACGTCACTGATTTTCTTTGCGTGCAATGAAAAATATAAAAGAATGCCTAGTTCTTCTTCCACATGTCGTGGTAGACCTATTAAAAACAGTTTATGCTATATAAGCCCGTGAGTAATTGAAGCAGCGACGTAAATATCCAGATAATCTTTAGACGCAGACGTTCAAGGCAGAATGCGTTAAAAAAGGCATGCAAATCAGTTGTTTTAATACAAAACGAAGAAATGAGGAGTGGCATCGGCTCCCTATGAGTAGTCTTTGTACAAGCATTCACCGAGTTATTTTCCTGAACATAATCAGAAAATACTCATATTTTCAGACGCTATCTTTCTTCCCACGCATACAAGGCTAGATATGATGTAGCAACAGTTCTTCAAAAATAATTATATTTCTAAAATAGGGGACTTTTTTGTCTGTTTAAGATTTTCCGAGCGCCGTTTTGTTACGAAGATACTAGCCCCAGGGTTCGCCACATTTCATAGCTTTTTCTCAAAGAACTTTTTAACAACATGTGCATGATTTTGACACCAGATTTTTGCACGATACGAATATTGAAAAGCGCCAACCGAAATATTAAATTTGGATCTTATCAACTTTCATTTTGAATCTAAAAGCTGATGCGAAAGGTCTTTAATTTCCGGTTATAATAGAAATTTTACATTACCTCATTTCAGTGTCACGAAATTCATTCAAGTCGCATTCTTTGGGACGTATTTACTTGCCGTTGAGAAAATAGTAGAAGGAACGCTGTATCTAATAGCATTCCTTATACGAATTCAGCTATCACACATGTTATATTATTATGAAAAATGCGTTTTACCTGTTTTTTTTATTTTTTTTTACGTAGGCGCTGCAAACGAATGCTTGACTTGACGTAAGTACGTCATTATTGTGTATTGCTAATATTGATTTATTATTGTCTAAGATGCCAGGCGGTCATTTTAGCAATGAAGAAAAGTTTGACATGCTGACGTCCTACATTTTGTGCTACAAAAAATACTGCAAAAGTGTATTTTGATAAATTTCCCGAAAGAAGGTGACCAAGTAAGCCCACTGTCTTAGAGTTGGCTCGAAATTTCGATGAATATGGTTAATTCAAGAAGTCTGTAACGTTTTGGAAAAAGGAAACTCAGAATAGTGTTTTACAAACGCTGACAAAAATAATATTAAAAATGTATTCCTTATTCTTAATGTCACATCATATAATTATACTGGGTGGTCCATAAGTCCTTTGAAATTTCAAATTTGAATAAAATTTAACGGGTGAGCGTGAGCGGCGCGGGCGAGGTGGGGGCAGTATCTTCAGTGTCTGGGAATTCAGCCGCCATGGAGTGTTTCACTGGAGCGGATCGCGCTTTTTGTGTGCGCGCGTTTTATCAAAATAATGATTCGGCAACCATTGCGCGGCGTAAATATCGAGAATACCACAATTTACACAATTTTACAAAGTGTCCAACAGCTCAAACGATTAAGAACTGGGTTGCTAAGTTCGAAGAGACTGGTTCGACGTTAGATAAACAGCGGTGGGGTCGACCAAGGACAACTCGTATTGAAGAAAACATCAACATTGTGGCACAGTCTGTTCGTCAAAATCCTACCCAGTCAACTCGTAAGCGTTCCAGTGCACTAAACGTACCCAGAACATCTTTACAGCGGATTTTAATTAAAGATGTACGTCTGCACGCTTACAAAATTGAGTTAGTGCAGGAATTAAAAGATAATGACGCTATTCAGAGACTAAACTTTGCGAATGAAATGTTGAATCGATTTTCTTTGCTCAATAATGTGTTGTTCTCGGACGAGGCTCACTTCCATTTAAACGGGCATGTAAATAAACAAAATTGCCGTTATTGGAGCCCCGAAAATCCAAGGCGTAAGCATCAGAAGCCCTTACACAGCCCTAAAGTTACAGTTTGGGCTGCTATGTCAGCGCATGGCATCGTAGGCCCTTATTTTTTTGAGGACGACAGAGGTCGCGCATTAACTGTTACTTCGGAGCGGTATGTAGCAATGATAGAAGAGTTTTTGACACCAGCGTTGCAGAATTTTCAAGGCTATAATACGCAGACCTGGTTTCAACAGGACGGAGCAACTGCCCACACCTCCAACACTTCTATGCCCGTCGTCTGTCAACTTTTTCCCAGCAAAGTAATTTCTCGAAGAGGAGACATTTCCTGGCCACCACGTAGTCCAGATTTGACCCCAATGGACTTCCTTTTATGGGGCTACCTCAAGAGTAAAGTGTACGACACCACTCCGCGATCAGTTGATGTCCTGAAAGAAAATATCCGAAGAGAAATGGCAAGCATTACAGTGTTGACTTGCCGCGCAGTCATCGACAATTTTAGACGTCGTTTATATGAGTGTCGTGATCGTAATGGATTGCATGTAGACGATGTGATTTTTAAAAAATAATTCCCATTCAATAAAGATTATAACAAAATATAATAATTCTTCATAATGTAACTAGTTTGGTTTTATTCCTTTTTTTCCAGCTCTTATGGGCCACCCTGTATAATGAGTAGTATGCATCAATAATCAGATAATCTTACATCAAGCAGTTGTTTGCAGCGCTTACTTAAATAAAACAAAAAATAAAAAAACACATTTTTATATCAGCTTGAAATTTTCTACAATTCAAAAAGAAAACATAGCCTCATAATAGGAGAGCGCCGACGCTGACACGGAACAGTAGAAATCTGGAAATACCACAGCCTTTCTGAAGGATATGAAAATCAAGGAGGCTATAAAGGCGTCCTACAATTGTAGGAGCGACTGACGATGCAGCCCTTAACCAAGAATTTTATGTATTTTTCACCTTCCAAAAAGAATTGCTCATATGTTGTACCGTTAATATTTACTTCCGATTCTTTGTATTATTCAACTTATACATGTCTATTAATAATAACTGAGCGATTCACATAGCAACAGATACAATATCGTCTCTTCTGGATGTGGATATACCCAGTATGACTGGCAACCTAAATATTCTTTATAGAGAAAGGAATGTAAGTACACCGATGTATTGGTTTGTCTCTTTGAAAGGCATTGGAAGAAAAGCCCCCGAAAACTATGCACTCAAACTATTTAATTTTGGAGACAAGCACTGCTATATAAACATATGGGCTTGGCTTCTTCTAACATATTCAAATCCGTTCACTATGCTCGTATTTTCATACACCAAATAAGGCCAAGCACCTAATAAGGCCATGCGTAGATTTTACAGAAACTACTAACATTTAAAATTAAAGATTTCTGCAGTTCTACAAATTTATTGAGAGCAGTTATTAACCCTAAATTCAGCAGCTGTGGAGTGGCGCTAGATAGCGCAGTAGGACAGTGTCGGTTTTCAACATGTGCTTTATAAAATTTCTGCTTTAAATTTGTCTCCGTTTTTGCATGTTGTCGGCTCCGTTTTGCGGAATCTCTTGTTAATTCAATCAGGTAAGTCTATAAAACATATGCATGTAGTTTTTTGCTATTACCAGGTTTTGAAAGTTAGATGTGCGTAATAAGGCCATATTAAATGGTTCCCATTAAGGCCACTTGGACTTATTAGGCCTTTATGGGAGGCGTCTCAAATTAAGGTGATCTTTTTTTTCCAGATACTGTAATCATCGAAATATGCCTTCTACGAAAAGTGAGCTTTAGTCAACCGAAGCGCTTGTACAGGCACTGGATAGTATAAATAGTGGAAATTCAGTAAATCGTCCATCCAGAGAACCAAATTCCACGAAAAACACTTCGAAATCATGTTCGTACACGTGTGCGATAGAGAAAACTTGTCACTGGTACGATTTTGTCTAGAGAGCAGGAGGATGAACTATGCAAAAGGATGTCCCATACACCGAGAACTTTGCGAATGACAAAAAAATTCGTCGAACATTTAATGAAAACATTGAAATGGCATGTACAAAAAAGGGTTACAATTGTTTTTGGATAGATTTGAAAATGTTCGCCAAAGGAAAGCACAGATTTTAAGTCCAGCAAGGGCACAGAAAGTGAATAAGTAAACGACTACTTCAAGAAACTAGAATCTTTGCTGGTTCAAACTAAACTTAATAAATCAGCCCCATCGCATCTACAATATAGATGAAAAAGGGTGCAGGGTCACCATCCACCGCCAACCAAATATCATCAACGCGAAGGCAAAATCTAGGATTTCAAATAAGTTTATTTTTTTACTTGAAAACTATCTGGATTCAGGAATTATTTATTGTTGTTAATTAGAAATATAACTTCGGTTATTCAACAGTCTTGTTTTATATTTTGAGGGCGGCTTTATTGAAAATCAGATCATCGCCTTATTTGGATACCTGGGTTCCTAATAAAGTCAAATATATATTATATGATATATAATAATACCTTTAAAATTTTATGATCGTTTGGCAAATATTTATGAAGTTCCAGCTATCCAAACGTTAACATAGCCTTATTTGGAACAGGTACCATTTTTAAAAACACTATAATTTTAATAGCAGAACCGTAATCAGCTAACCGAAATTCACGGGTATACATTTTTAAATCAACTGACCAATATGTTCTTTATGTCTATGTAGATATTGTTTTGAATCACCCAAAGTGGCAGTCGGCCCTCAGACTATTACCACGCAATTAACAATAGACTTAAATAGAACAGCTGACTAACTATGTCGATGCTGCTTCAAGGCCAAAACATTTAGTTATTTTTGATACGATATGCATTATATTTTTTACTCGAATTGCTATAGAAAGCACATCCTTCACATCTCAATTCATCTACACAGAAGCTAGAAAAAACCATGCACAAAAGAACCAGTTCCGAGGTACAATAGTCGTTCATCACCAGTAGATAAACCGATCTAAAAGTCTGACAGCAACAGTTAACACCTCATTTAAAAACCATACGCACGATCTTAGGCGTCAAATCGAAATGGTTCGATCCTCTTGAAAGACCAGATTTTCACCTAATTGAATTGGTGGACACGACACGATCAAATTATGAAAGAAGTCTTATAGATAACTGTTCTAGTATGTAAAATAAGGATTTCGTGGTTACAGTTAATCTGGTTTTAGCGGACACTTCATTTTTAACGAGCTTTGTACAACTTTGCATACCAGATGAAAAGACTACGTAAATGATTGAATGGTGTTTGCCTAATAAACAATAGTTGAATGCAAATACAATAAGTGTATACTGAGTTATGGAAAAGCTCGTTTATTTAACGTGCTCATGAATCAAATAATTTATTTATTTCGAAAATCAAATTCGCGTTGAAGCGATATGATGCAAGATCTTGTAGCTCCTAAAGCTCTAATTTAGCTGTAAAGAAAAATAACTAAAAACACAAAAACAATTTTCAAAGAAATCATGTATACACCAGCAAAATAGGCCCCAGAGAAGAGTAACATTTGGAGAGCTTTTTAAAATATTTCTCCTGAAACCAATAACTAAGATATACAAAAACTGTCAGCTGTCAATCTTAGAGAGTAGTGAGTCTCCAGGGACAATCTTCATAATTTCCTTGATAGATATATACATATAGTGTTTGAGAGACGTACTAGCTTAAGAATGCATCGTATAAAACAACGAAAAAATAAACTCCTAGCTGTATTTCTTCATATGCAAACAAACAAGTGACTGCGCATCATCAACGGTAAATCCAAACGCGACGTCAACAATCGCTGTCACCGTTTATCATTTATTTACCTTGCAGTTACGCAACCTCC